TACTAGAAATATCTCTAGAGACTATTATCTATATTAATTATCTAACTAATATATCGCCTAAGAAATTATCTTATTAAATAAGAAGGAGAAAAGCTATTATATTATAATAAGGGGTAAAAAGAATAAAAGTATATCTAATACCTTTCTCTTTAAAATATTATTTATAAAAGCTTTTAGCTTTAATCTAAATACTCTAGTAATTAAATTAAGCTAATTAGTAATCTATTCGCTAAATAGAAAATTTTCGATAATCTTAATTTATTTTAAATTATAGATAAAAGTTATAAAGAGATTTAATTAGTTAAACTTAATAAATAGAATAATAATATTCTAATAGAGTTATTTTATAAATTATAAATCTTCTTAATAGAAGAAAAGAAGATCGATACGTTATTTATTAGCTTAATTACTTATAGTAACTTTATTAATATAAGTATTAATAATTATTTAATAAGTATTAACTCGAATAGTTTTCTAATTTATCTTTAATTAATAAAGTTTATTATTTTCGATAGCTATATAGATATCGTAGATGAAATACTATAGTAGTTTATCGTAATAAAGAAAACGATTAAACTTACTAAAACGATTTTATATTATATATTTATAGAAAGTTAGCGATGAGTAGAATAGAAGAAATAAATAATATAGATTTATAATATAAGATAAGCGTTATTTATATAGAGTTATCTCGACTAATAATTTCTCTAATTTATAGAATAACTTCGCTATTCTTACTTTGCTAGATAAGAAAACTTCTATCTAATATATTATCTATATAAAATATATTATTATACTATAACTATTTATTAAATAGAAAAATAAGAGAATAGCGTAGAGATATATAAATTAGATACTAATATAAAATACTAAATCTCTTACTACTTTAAGTCTCTATTAATATATCTCTAATCTTAAATATATCTAGTAGATTATAAATATTATTTTTCTAAGCGATAATAACTTTATCTAAAATAGAATAATTATAGATATATGAATTATAGTATTATAAGTTCTTATAAAATAGCTTATAGTCTCTTATATTTAAATTAATCTTTAGTCTTTTAGATATTAATTTAAGAGTATTAATATAAAAATTAATACTTTTAAGAATTATAGCTATTTTGCGATAGAGTGTCTAATTAATATAATTATAATAACTATATCTAGTAAAATTAATATAAGAAACGCGATTAGAAGAAAGTTATATCGTATTATAAATTAATTTTAAATATTATTTATAATATAGATTTAGCTAAAGATCGATTTTTTACTCTTTAAAGACGTTAAAGCAAATATATAAGTAATAATTACTTTTTAAATTTTATATATATAGAGGGTAACTAAATAATTAATAGTAATCTACTATAAGGCTATAAAGGCTATATTATTATATTAAACGCTATAGCGACGAAATTCTTTATAATTATTAATAAAATTTAAGATCTCTAATATTAAAGAATAAAGGATTTAATTAATAGTATACTCGCTAAGATTAATTAGATTATTTATACTTATTTTAACGCTCTTATAACTTTATTCTATATTATTTATTTTTTAATTAATATCTATTTTAGATATACTAACTTTAATCTTTTCGCTATTATAGTACTATTTAACTATTTTATCTTTTTATAATATTATATTATAGCTATTATAAATCTAATCTATAGAATTTAAATTATATTATATAAGTTTTATAGTATATAGATAATGCGCGATATAATTAATAAGCTTTATTAGAGATTAAATAGAATTTAAATAAAGGCTATAAGATAAGTTAGAAGAATATAAGCTATCGAAATTATTATTAAAGAAGTTTACTAATAAGTCTTATAATAGAGAATCTTTAATAGCGTTTTTCTCTTATTTAGAAGCTTCTTTTTAACGATATTTAAGATCTAATACGCGTTAAAAAACTTTAAAATAGAGTAATAAAAAATAGATAGGGGAGAAAGATATATCTTAGAAGATAGTATTGCTAAATTAAAAAATACTATCGCTAATTTAAAAGGAGTATATAAGAAAGGATATATTTATTCGAGCTCTTTTTAAGGATTTTCTAACGCGTTTATAAGTAGTAATAGATAGCTATTAAGCTCGTTTACAATCTTAATTACTCGTAATAGCGAATTTATTAAGAGATAGTCTAGAGGCGTTAATAAAGGCTCTAAAAGATAAGTAAAAGGGGTATATATATCTTATAGATCTAATAATATAAAAGCGAGGGGTAGAGAGAATAAATATATTTATATTAATAGAATTAGTAGAATTAGTAAAGTAATAGAGGAATAATAATTATATAAATAGATAAAAAGATTATTATTCGATCTTAGACGTATTTAATATAATTACGATATTTAAATATTAGTTTAACCTACTAATAGTAAATTAAACTTTATAATTTTTATAGTATTAGAAAGCGTAAACTAAGCTTTACAATTTACGAAATTATAAAGTAATAATATTTTTAGAGAGCTGGTTATTTCAGAGTATAAGACTTCTATATATAAATTTTTATAAATTTTTAATAGTTATAAACGCTAATTTATTTACCCGCGATATCTAATTAAAAAGCGTAGATCTAACAAATTTATAATTGACTATATATATAAATTTAAGATTTTCTAGCTTAGCCCTATCTTATTCTTTTATATATACTAATTTTTAGAAAAAAAATTAAAAAGCTTAATATCTTTAAAGACTTCGAACTTTCAATTTAGAAAATTTGATATATTATTATTATATTAGTATATATAAAAGAATAAGATAAGACTAAGCTAGAAAACCTTGAATTTGTATATATAGCCAATCATAAATTCGATAGATCTACGCTTTTTGGTTAGACATCACGGGTAAACAAATTAGCGTCCGCAACCATCAAAATCTCGCCCTCCCGCGCCTCCCTCATCAAAAAAATAGGTGTATATTATTAACACATAGAATAACTTTTTTATATATTAAGAATATATTTATAAGTTTTTATAAAAAGTGATGGTTCGGTTATTAAGTAATGATATATCGAAGTTATAGATTATTAAGTTTCTTTGAAATAGTTTCGGGGTAACTCGCTCCGAGGTAACAGCTACCCCGGAACTTACTAATGCTGATATATACCCAGGGGTAAATATCTCATATCAGCCAAACCACCAAAAAAATGAGGCTTGGCACGGTTTCCTGCTCAGACCCACTGCGTGGGGCCACTGAGACTAGGCGCGTCACCTTAAAAAAAGCGATGTCATCATTAACATCCAATTTGGAACTCGCGTGCTTGCCTCTCCTCTCACACACATCATAATTCCTCTTATCACTTTTCAGTTCATCTATGGCCTCTAGAATCTTGAAGGCACACCGTTTACTGTCAAGCTCCGCTCAATCATATCTCACATCACGCACCATCAGTCCAGCACCTCGAACACTCTCCCGCATCAACGTATTTCACTTTCACACCAGTACTAGAACCATGGCTGAACATGCATCTTCATACCGCGCCAACGGCGACAATGGCGATGAGGGAAACACTGAAGGCGACCTCAACGCATGGAAGCATAGAGCACCCTACAAGGTCCACGACAGCGACCCAAACTTTCACGCTCGCTATGAAGCCAGCTGTCATTGCGGTAAGATCCGGTACCAACTGAGTAGGGAGAAGCCACTGGATTCCAAATACTGCCATTGTACGACGTGTCAGAAGCTTCATGGTACGAAAAATCCTCCCTGCCCTTGTTCAGAAAGTATATGCTGACCCCATATCTTTTAGGAGCACCATTCCAGTGGGCAGCCATCTTCCATAAGGAAGACATCAACTTCACCCACGGTCACAGCGACCTGGGCTGGTACGAGAGCTCAGAAAAGACTACCGTGCACAAGCTGCCATGCAAAGTCAGCTGTGCTTACTGCCGTACACCTATCATGGACGAGGGAAGGAATATGATCCTGCTGTTTCCGACCCTGATCAACTTCAAGTCTCCTGAGGACAGGAAGAACTTTGACCCTAGGTGAGCATTGTCAAATCTTTTCCAAACCCCTCAGGGATAGCTGCTGATGGTCACTACCTAGCTGCCACATGTTCTACACTCGTCGGATCCTCGACATCAACGACGGCAAGCCGAAGTGGTCAGGCATTAGTAACGACAGCGAGCTGATTGAGGATTCACCCGAACAAGACAAGAAGAGGAAGCGTGAGGAAGACGCGGCGGAGGGGAATGATAAAAAATCATGATGGGTCTGTTGAGCATGGCGCATGCGTGTTCCACTAAGAGCACGCATTCTCGGTCCACAGAAATTGTTGGGTGAAGCACTGGCTTTATCCAGCTTTGCTGCTCTTGGGTCCAGCAGTGTTGTGCCGGTGATGTTGCTTCGAATGCACAGCTCGGAGCTCGTGACTGGCTTTACAGTGGAACATCAATAAGAGATCAGGTCACCTTGATTTTAGACTGTCCCCAGCGTCCGTGCTAGTGCTCTATCGCTTTCCAATTGCACCAGACGATTTGCAAGCGGTATTCAAATCTACAAAAAGCTCATACATATGGAACTCGATTTACTGAATTCTTTTCTCGATTCCATGCTACCCTCTTTCCTATGCTGCCTTCAAAGAACAAAAGCTTTTCGAGTATCCGTGTCAGAAGCTTGAATTCATTGTTTGATCGTGAACGACATGTAACACACGCGGTTTACTCCGGGGAGTCGTACGTATTGCCGCTTACTGTTAAAGAATCAAGTCATCGAAACACTGAATCATCAGTCCCATGTCTATTCCTTAATGATAATATATGAGGCGCTTATTGAAAACCTTCCTATTCGATGTTTTCCCCGCAAGAAGTCGCGCATGCCTTTACGTACATGCGCATCAAGAATTTCATGCGGTCCACCTTTTTGCGAAGTTTTGCTCAAGCCCCCAGATCTTGTTTATGGAAGAAGACTCCGTAAAAGCTCGGACGTGGTCAACAATGTTTTATGATCCTTAACTCAACGTCATTGAACTCTTCTCAGTACACAAGATGCATGCCGTCACGACTCTGTTTCTCTTGTACCTCACAAAATGCATCACCGCCAACACCACAACCGCCGCTCAACGAGCTCAGCAGAAAGCCGTTGCCGCCTGCCAAAACCTCACCCCCTCAACCACTAACGACGGCACTACCACTACCATCCTACCCTTTCCCGATCCATCATGCTGGGTCACTTTGGGCATGACAGACTGGATGAAGAACTGGAACACCAGCACCACAATCTGCACAGCTACACAAAGCGTACTCACGCCATGCCAATGCCGAATATATGAGCCGTGGGCAACGTGCTTCATGCGGCTGACATATGAGAGAAACCGAACGGCTAGCTATGTTTGTACGAATCTGACCAAGCCGGAGGAATGCACGGAGCCGGTACCTGGGCTTATGGTGCCGGGGCCGGCAGAAATATTCTATGGCGCTTATAGTGTAGGTCAATACAATTTGGCTCTAGAAGCAAGACATGTGACGGTTACTGACAGTGAGATAGATCTGGTGTAGGTCAAGCAAGAAACTCTGGTAACTCAGACTTCTAAGCTAATCATGCTCTCCTCAGCACTTTTCAGCTACCTAATAACCTGGCACACCTCCCTGACCTCCCCCAGCGCCCTACCCGCCATAACAACCCAGCTTTCCCAAACCAAAACCAGTGCTCTCTCTGCCAACAACCTCCTCGTAGCCCTCGTCCAAGACTATGCCGTCGATACATCCCGTGGCCAAGCTTTTATCTCTGTCATGACAAACGGGCCACTTCTCAGCAAGAATGACGGCCGCACAAGGCCGACGCTGTCGAACGCGCAGGAATTGCTTGGTCAGCTATTGGAGCAAGCCTTAGAGGTCCTTACGAGCGATTGGTCTTGCGGGGACTTTCAGACGATGGCGAATGGGGGGATGTTGTTGAATGGAACGCTAGAGACAACTGAGATTTTGGACACGAGGTTGGGGCAGCAGGAAAAGATGTAAAGGGGTCATCAGGCGTTAGAGGCTTTAAGAGGGCATTTGATCTTTTCGGGTACTCGAGGGGAAAAGATTGTCCCTGTTTGATTCTATATCCCTACCATCAAAATCAACTCCCTGGAGGAGGGAGACCCTTTGCCTGGATGGCTTTAGAGGCTTCAATGGCATGGGACCAACCGAATGTCTCCGGGTTGAGCTTCAGATATAGTGACCCTGACGGTCTAGACAGCATGCGACCAGGCAGAGATTCGGGTTCAGATTTGTGCGTGGTGTTCTGATGACTTGAGCAGTAGGTAGTTGCGTAATCAAGCAGTCCATTCGGGGTTCGATTAATGATCTTACGGCCTTCAATTCTTCAGCAACCTGCGAATGGCATAACAATGGGGTTCGCAGCCCACGACTCCGTTCCAATGAAAGTTGTGAAAGCGTAAGATGCCGCTCGTATCGTCCATTTTTATATAAGATCTCGATGCCTTTCACAATTTGCTCCTCGGCAGCAGGTGCAGCAACCCAGGGTCGCCACTGGCCATGCGACGCCAGATCCCTGTCAGTCTCGACGTGGACTAGCGGCAACTCCAAGTTCGCATGCCTTCATCGTCTGTCGGCTCCACCTCTTTCACACTCCATTCGAGACGACGCCTCGAGCATATTTGCTGGATTCTTGTTTCGAAGTTAGGGTGAGAATAACGCGTATCTTGCTTCTCTGTTTTTGTTGCAACCAGACCGTCGAAGCTTTCCCCACCTTGCCAGCAACACCTCGGCTTATCTCACCCGAAAACAAAACAATCCCTCGCGGACCTCAAACCATCCATAGTGTGTGCACCATTGTTTTTGACCCCTAGCAGCTGATTGGCTGACTGACTGATATCCAGATATCTTGACAACGCCCGTGGCCTCGCCCTCTGTCCTCGCGACCAGCTAATCATGTCCGTCAAATTCGAGAAAGAGACTGTCAAGGACACTCCGATTCCTGGATTGGGAGGACGGAAACATGAGATCGTGCACGAGATTGGCGAGAGGTTGACGGGAGGCGAAACGGCACGAGGCTACCTCGCTGTAAGCAGTGGAGTGTCTCATGTTCCAGTGCCGGAGGACTGACAATCTCCACGAGCCAGGCCTACCTCCAGCAGCTCCAAACCAACCCCTTGCGCACGAAAATGCTCACATCTGGCTCCCTCGCAGCTCTACAAGAAGTTCTCGCCTCTTGGATCGCAAAAGATGTTGGTCCATCCGGCCATTACGTCAACTCTCGAGTGCCGAAGATGGCAGTGTATGGCGCTTTCATCAGCGCGCCGTTGGGCCACTTCTTGATCAGTATACTGCAGAGAATGTTTTCCGGGAGGACGGGTCTGACCGCGAAGATTATGCAGATTCTCGTTAGCAATTTGGTCGTATGTCTGCACCATCCTTAGGCGCAAAGCAGGGCTGACATTTCGCAACTTGCAGGTCGCACCCATCCAGAACACAGTCTACCTCGCCTCCATGGCCGTCATCGCCGGCGCCAGGACCTTCCACCAGATCAGAGCGACCATCAGAGCCGGCTTCATGCCTGTGATGAAAGTCAGCTGGGTCGTCTCGCCGTTGGCATTGGCCTTTGCCCAGAAGTTCTTGCCTGAGCAGACTTGGGTGCCTTTCTTTAATATTGTTGCCTTTGTCATTGGTACCTGGATTAACTCTCAGACTAAGAAGAAGAGACTTCAGGCTTTGAGGAGGAAGGTAGGCTGACCCTATAACCCTGTGATGATGATGGCTGACGGCATTTCAAGCACTATGGCGACGATGGACGAGGTGATGGACGAGGTGATGGGCGAGGTGATGGGCGCAGCCAGTCGGGCAGAACCGACTATTCGAAGCCTGGATACTAGGAGCGTTATGAAAGGATGGCGTATTTAGGATCGAGGTCGTATGAAAGCAGTTTTGGGGTAATGGTCGAGCATTGACAGCCGCATTTTGCCCATCTCTACCGTTCGAACACACCAACTTCGTCTTGGCGACTTCTTACTGTCTTGCTATGTATAGGACAAGATTCTTCACGAGCGAGCAATACCCGTTACTTAGCTTCCGACTTGATTCTTACTTCTTGCGCGAGATAGTTATCTGCATACGTTTATCACCTCCCGTGCAATTACCCTCCTTGTCGCCCATCCATTCTACTATCCTCCTTGCGTACACATCGCCAAAGACCTACCTATCTCCGCGCTTTTCAGCAACCGTGTGCTGCTTTCCCACCTTCCTCTTCCGTACTCCGGCAAATCCTACTGATTCCAGACCACGCACTCGTCGGCTTACCAGCAGCTTGGTTTCCCGACCTCTGGCAGCTCCCGTCGACACCGCTTCGGGGAAGCAGTTCCACACTGATGTATGCGAGCACTACATTGAATCGCGGTCGCTGCCCGTGTCTTTCCAATATTCGCTCCGACGCAAACCCAGACGACGCCAACCGCATGACCGCGGCGCGGCCAGCGGCCCGGAGCCTGCAGCGGTCAGTTTACAATCATCGTTTCAAACCATGTGCCAGAATTAGTAATGATTCCATATCCAATGATCCAGACCTTGCTTTCCGCCTCCTTCCGCAATACAAATACATGGGTAGTCTAGATGATCTGTCCCCCCTCTTCCCCCCAATCCAGCTTCTCCTTCGCTGTGGGAACCGAGCTTTTCCCTGCGTTACTGGGGTCACCGAGAACGACGCTAGGCATGCAGGTACGCCTTGCTGAACTGTCTCTTCGATTATGCATTACAGGTATGCTCGGACGCCTGTTGTTTGCAAGGGCAGGCCTGCGAGGGAATGCTTGTTTGTGGCTTGCTTGTCGTCCTCCAATTGTTGTCGCCGGTAAATCAGTCGTGGCATCTTCTTCTTCTTCTTCTTCTTCTTCTCCATCCTCACGCAGTTTACCGAGCATGTTCCTTCCGATCCCCGAGACCGGGCCGTATCATGTCACACTGGTGTGATGAGCTCTCTTTTTTTTCTTTTTTTTCTTCTTCTGAAATCCAATTCAATTCAAATATCAAGATCGCATTCCCATAGTCACCGTTTCTATCCTGTACTTGATAAGAACAAAAAGTGCCTTCCGCAATGCGCGTTCCTCGGCTCCACCTCATCCCCAGACTCGCCCTTCTTGCCATCATCGCCACCGCCGCCGCCGTCACGTTCATCGTTTGGTCGAGACGACACATGCAATCCGGCAGCCAAGAAAAGGCCCATGGTGGTAGTAGTTCAAAGGCTGGAGAGTGCCTTACGCGTGAGTCGCTCGCCACATAATCAGTTACATTCAGTCACCGCTGGGGGTGGTGCTGGCGAATAATAACGTTCCACAGTCAACGCAAGATGCAATGTCTACAACGGGGATTACTGCTGCGGCAAGCTCTACTGTCACGAGCTGCCGAGTATGGGCGCGACTTGTGTGTCGCCTGGTGGGTCAGAGTACTACCAGGAACTGCTTGCGGATGGTTGGTTGGAAGAGGAAGATTCCAAACGGTGCGTTGACATGTGAGGGAAATGGTTCGCACATAACACTGATGTGGGTGCTATAGGTGATGATAATACATTGAGAAGAACGAAAAGGATGACAGGTTAAGCTCCCAACTCTCGGTCCGGTAACGACGGTTTGAAGGGTAGAGGACCGTGAAATATCGTGACGAAGGGGTGGAAACACAACGCCCAGAAGCTCCGTAATCTCGGCTCGGTAACAAGGGCATGAAGAATCATAGTGACACGTTACCCTCACTGCCTCGCCATCAGCGGCTTCTCAACATTGCCAGCGCACTTCGACCTCCGCAGAAGCAGCCCCCCTACCCTTAACCTGTCTCTTATCAATCTCGCCAGCCGCTCACTTGCTATTCGCCACCGCAGTGCCATCACCGGAAATACAATCCCCATCGCAGAATGGATCCTCTACATAGTTGAACGTCAAATACCCATCCTTAGGACTATTGCCCCAATCGACCGTCGCACTCCCACACGTCTTACACTTATGCTCCAGCACCTGATCCGCCAGCGGCTGGATCTGCGCAAGTGTCAAGTCGGCGCCAGCCTTCAGGTAATTTGGAAACGCGCAAATGCCTCCGGTGCCGATTGCGACGTCGAGTTTGTAATTCCCGCCGGTGGACTCGCTAGCGCCGGATGCATCAATACCCTTGCTGATGTCGGAGCCGATGGTGACGGATTCGGACGAGGAGATGCAGACTACGTGCTGGCCCTCGGTGTACGTGGTCGTCAAGGGTTTGGAGGTGGCGTAGATGGCGTCGCGGAGGATCTGGACGATGGATTCGGGATCCTTGTTTTCGAATCTGGCGAGGGGACAGAGGCCGGAGCCGCGGCAGTTGAGTCCGAGGGCGGCGACGGTGGAGATGACGCTGGTGATACTGGTGACGGCGAGGAGAGAAGCGAAGGTTGTGGAGGGATGCATAGTAACGTGATGAAGAAGGGGCTGGGCCGGGGGAAGGAGTTTAGGCCAGGGGTTCGGGCAGCCGTGGCGGGTAGTTGCTTGAATGTAATATTGTCCGTAGCTACCGTGAGCCGCTGTTGTGGATCGGTGTTTGAATAATCCGAAGAACTTGCGTGAGGGATGGACGCCTTATACACGTTCTGCTGGTCCATGGTTTCTTCAAAGAAATCGATCTGCTTGATACAGGTCGGAGCCTCGACTGGGAAAGATTCCATGTCCATCTCTGTTCAAACCGTTCATCGAGAATCAAGCCGATCAATGCCAGTTGAGCCGTGCCATGTCGTATCCGATCTCCTGTGCAACTTCCCGTCAACGGTTGACTATCTTTCCCTGAACGAGTGCCGTCAGCTATTGGTAATTATTCTTAGTTCAACCACGACCGCTATGCATCTGCAAAATAGCAAAGACGACGACCTGCTTGTGTCCATTGGATTCCTCGTTCCTTATCTGTGGCGGCGTGGGGGTGTCGCTCGGAATATTAGCATGGAAACACGCTCAGCTGGCAAGGACTCAGGTGTGTGGGCTACCGTGATTTTGTCTCTTGCTGGTCTACTCTCTCTCCCGTTCATCGACGCTTTGAGGGGAAGTTTCGTGTCAGGTCGTTGTACATGAACAATGGCCAGCCATTACCGCACAAACCATATCCATCTCGATGTTCGTTGCAAATCGTCCGCTGCAAGACTCGATGGCCTTCTAGGTCTGCTTGGCAGGGTTCCCCCAGAATCTGGACCCTGATGCATTCCAGTCTCTTTCACTTTAGTGCTGAAAAGGAGGTTGATAGGCTGGGATAGACAAAGTCGACAGCTTTAGCGGCTTTCTAGGCCTAGGATGAGGAGTCCACGGAGATCGACCACGATCGTCTGCTGGTTGTTCCCACGACAATCTTCCTAAAGTCCCGTAGCATAACGGGGTTGCTTCGGCCGAGGGAAAGAACAACATGATCAGGTTACGTTGCAACGCTGTTGCTATCGCTGTGGGATGGTTCGCCCGATTGGGGTTGGGTATGTACAAACTACCTCTCCTTCCCCACATCTCGTATCTCTCTGATAGGATGCTCCTGCTGATGGAGTTGAAGCGGCACGTTGAAGGATCAGACCGTCCGAGGTGGTGCTTGTGGGGCCGACATCGATTGGATGGGCCTTGCGCATGGTCAAGCCGTGACGTTGAGACGGAGCGATAGTGTGGGAGGCTTACATCATGTAAGCATCATTATTTGCATGAATCGATAGTGAGATGCCCCGTACGTATGCTGTTTATAGCCCAAAGCCGGCGGGGTTTGTTCCAGAAGACTGTGTGTCTAGGAGGATTTTATAGGCACGACCCGTGTCTAGGAAAATTGTTTCGTGGATCGGGACGTACAATTGGAGCGTTTCGAAACACTCGTGCTAGTCTGCGAGGCTTGAGAATGATGGACACCGCGCAGGGATATCTGGTCGCTGATGCTCCAGTCGATTCGATGGTTCAAGTGCCGTTGTTTCAGCCATCCATATGCGCTCAAGTGAATATGTACTCCCAACGTCAAGCGGGGTTCTTCATCCGTAATGTGTGTCCTTGAATTCCACTCGCGTCTCACCAATGTTGGAGGATGGAAGCAGGACATTGACAATGTAGTAGATCGTCATGGTCATGGAGCGGGTCCTGAAGCGTTCAACACGCAAAGAAAGGATGACCCCCGCACCATGGTGGGCTCTGCATGACGCAGGGAGGCCTCGAAATGAATGGTTGCGCAAGGACTTGTTGATATTCTTAGCCTAGGACCATCCATCCTGTTCCAACGTGCGTATCTTGCTTCTCCAGAAGCCTTTCCTTCTCTCTCTGGGACATCTTCGCACAAATGTCCCCCTTCATGTCCAGCAACACGTGTGAACAACAGCAATTGCTTTATTCCAACCACAAAGACCAGCAACCTCCAGCCATGAGCTGCACCTACTCCCAGCCAACAGCCCATAACCCACATCGCCGGGCAATGTCAGAGCCCATGAATGATTCTCACCGGCACAAAGCCCTTCCCCGTCTTCCCCATGACCATGAAACATACCGCAGCCGGTCCTTGCCCGAAATACCTTCAGAGACCAGCAGACACAATATTAGGCCGCTGTAGATACAAGACTGTTGGACGAAGAGGAAACTCTTTGCACACGAGGTGCAAGATTGTGCTTATGACTGTGCATGTGGAACGGTTTGAGGTCCTTGGTGGTAATGGCGTAATAAAGGGATGACTGCGACGTACCGGGGTTTCATGATGATGGTATCTGCGATTGAACTCTAAATACGGGAGACACGGCAGCAATGATCAGCCAAGTCTTGCATGTGTTTAACAGAATCAAGAACCGTAGGCGTTTTCACTCGCACGGAAGATGACCCATGCACAATTGACATTCTTTCCCTTAGGCCATGTAGAAGCATCAGTGAAGCGTCAACTTAGTAAGGTCTTTCCACCCGCGCTTCTCTAGCCTCGGTGCCTCGCCAAGAGTCGTAGATAGCAGCCATAGAGCTCCTGGATACTATTGCTCACACGCGTCCGTCATTCTGTTTGTTCATATTTTGGTATGGTCCGAGCTCGATGCTTTGTCCGTATCGTTCTCGGAAAGCTAGACCCTAGTCTGACAGAGATGTAATCCAAATTGCCACACCAAAGTGATAACCTAGAGTCTGATTGCATGATTGCGGGTACAAACCATTGGTTGCTGGCCTACTCCCTGCGGTAAGGTTCGCCAAATCAGACCGAGGACGATCCAGATTTGGATGAGCTGGAGTCTCGCAATTGGGAACCCGAAAAGAGGATGTAAATAGCGCCAAAACCCTTGTTTTTGATCCAGTAGAAAAGAGATGAGATCATCCCCCACAAGATGGTCCTTGCCATCCAAGGGCCTTTCACGAGAGGTTGTTCATCTGCAAAGTTCTTAGCATCGTGCGGTCGAACAGTCGGCTTTCAGATCCCTTACCTGGTTTGTCAAGAAATAGGATGAGACGGTCCACTTCGTCATCATTGTTCATCCACTCGTCCCTGGCCTTACGCCAGTAGGGATATTCGAACTCGGGTGGGTAATACCCAGAACATTCCCAGTTCTGGAGAAGAACGACCTGCAATGTTTTCGGATCGACCCATATATATTCTTGCGATATTTCATTGTGGCAGAATACATATCGGTTCGTGTTTGATGTTCTTGCAGGCCAGGAAAGTCTCTTGTCACGCTTCCAGACTCGAATAGGAGGAATGGTCATTCCAATTTTTCCGCCAAGCTTACTCGACCGCAAGGTATTGAGTTGGGGTAGGACGATCTGATTGACAAAAGTGTTGACGTGCGTAAGAAGGATTGCCTTATCACGGTTGCTGAGTCTTCTAGCCAAGATGTCCATCCTTGCCCCAGGAACAGGGATCTTTGTAGTAAGGCTGCTGATTCCGGCTTCTTCATTGAAGGCATGAACGCGAGCCACGGGTATTGAAGTGTGCTCAGCAATAAACTCCAGTGCTTTCTTCTCGTTTTTCAGCCGCTCTCGAGACCACGGAAATGGGGTGATTGTCCCCTGAACACCGAGACTTTTCTCGTAAGGGCGCAGTTGGCGTTTTGTGAACGTGGATGGAGTGAGGGTACAATGTCTATCACGATCTTCCGTCTGCCACATATAGATTACCCCGTCCGGAATGTCAATCATTGTGACCGGGAAGTTTTCTGCTGATGGTTGGTCCAGAAGCCTGATCAGCCGGTCTGTAGAAGCTTCATCTGGCACATAATCCCGATACGATCTTGACCACATGTCAGCCTCGAACTCTGCAGGATAGAACCCTGATGACTCCCAGTCAATGATTGCTGTGACCTCTAGTGTTTTCGGGTTGACCATGATGTTGTGCCTTGCTAGATCATTGTGACAGAAGGTAAACTGGTTCTCGGAAAACGTTCGAGACCTCCATTCGGGCCTCTGGTCTCGGAAGGTCACACGGTTTGGTGGTATGACGAGTCCACTCACACCACCCAGTCTGTTAGATGTAAATTTCCTCAGCTGTGGCAGAACGCTTTGCTCAACGAATGCTGTTACATTGTGGATGAGTCTTTTCCGGTCTTCTCCATCTAATTCATCGAGTACAATTTCCATGATGTTGCCCTCGACGCGTTCGACGATCAGGGTGCAGATGCCATCTTCCTCCAGGAAGTCTAAAACCTTGGGGACCGGAATCTTCGTGTGCTCGGCGACGAATCTGTACGCATCTTTCTCATTCTCGAGCCGCTCACGTACTCGTCGCGGTACTATAGTTCCAAAATTACCGAACTGTCTCTTGTGATACTCGCTAGGTTTGAGCTCTCGCTTAATGAACCTTGTCCGGGTGACAGTATAGTCTCTTTCAGCAGTCTGGAAATGCTCGATGATCTCCTCCGCCATTCTTCGACAGAAATTGAAGGTTTGTGGAATTCGGTGGTTATGAAGGGTGTAAGTGACACACAGTCGGAAGGAGCAGGACGAGTGTTGCTGACTCAGCGCTCGCACGTGACATTAATCCGAAGGTACCTCGAAGTAAATGGCAATAAGTCGTTACTTATGTGCATAAGGTACCTATGTGTCGCACGCTAATCCCCATCGCTAAAGCAGCCCGTATTTCTTCTCCCGCCCGGACCACCATACTATGTAATACCCCCATTTCTACGCGCATCGGCGTAGAGCTTCCCAATGCCCTTGCTCGTGTCTGCTGGGCTACCGACCTTTGCGAGGGCACCGCGCCCAGCTCCAACGGCGGCAGCGCTTTCAGCGGCCGTAGCACCTCCCTCGGTGCCACCCACATTGGCAGTCTCCTCTCCCGTCGCCGCATTCATAGCTGCTATCGAGCTGTTGATGCTAGTATTAGCGTGGTCTATCGTATGTCAGTTAACCAATAATATCTGGGGATACACACAGTCTTACGCGTTGCGGACGAGGTTACCACCGCCTGATGGGTGACAGGAGGGATTTCACTGCAGCGTTCATCGTTGCAAGGGCGCCCGGGATAGCCGCCGCAATGGAAGCACTGAGCCTCCGAGAACGACATATGCTTCTGACAGTGCCTGCATGGTATCAAAGGCATCATAGAAAACCAGGATTTCTACCTACCAAAAGCATTAGCATTGACAGCAGTACTTTTGCTTCATATACCACTTTGGGCGAATTCACCTTGAATTATGATGTTGAAAAAGGCCAAAAAGTTTGGTATAGTATCAGATGGATAGCAACGATGGTGGTGGGCGTTTGCAAAAGCAAAAAAGATTCGCTGTTATCTTGCAACTCTTGTCGCACAAAGTGAGGGGAAGAGCTTGATCACGAGTATTCTAACCAGCCGAAAGGAAGCAATTTGCCATCCCGATATTCGGGCCATTACGTAGGGCCATGCCAAGGCGGCCTATCCGAGGATGACAATGCTCGCAGGTCTTTGGAGCAGCTCATGATTTGTCATGTATCCTGTAACGCCCAAGCCAGCTCCAAGCTGCCATTCGTGGTCACTCCCGTCAAGGTGCCATTGGACACAGAACCCACGCCGGGAGGATGAATCGCCTGTGATGTGATCATGTAGTTGTTCAGGATAGTCTCGAATGGCGCTCCCACAGCGTAGATGTACAAAGCCATAGCTCCGTCACCAACGGGGTCTACCTCATCAGCTAATTGTATACAATTGAGGTGGATAGGCCGCCAGACCTGCAATAAAGATAACACCCCCGCCTAACTTCTTAGCCAAACAATTCGTGGATAGCCTGAGGACGTTCCTCTCAACGAAAGACCACGTCGACACAGGCTCTGGATCGATGACCTTACGCGAACTAGCAGCGATGGGCATCAAGGCGAAGCGACAAGACTCTACGCAACGTACTCTCATCAGCATTGACCACTTCGTCTCCCGTAAAATCATCCACACTGACTGTATCTCCAGAATTTTGGTAGCTGCTACGCAGATTTCGAGTCAGCATTGCTATTACGAGGTAGGTAATGGAGTTGCGACACGGGTCTTGGGAGTAAAGTGGTCTGCTTGCTCTTGAAACTTGTCTTGCGACTCAATCTCAATACCAGCTGGGAAGGATCACTTCCGAAATGTACGTACCTCCATTGGCGCATCCAGTTCGTTCTGACATGTACTGAAAGGTGGCTCTAGATATTGAGGTTCGACGAACTTGCGGACGGCCACGAGCTTGGTAGTCGGGCTCTTTGATGATGCGTCTGGCATTGATAGTAAGGTGCCCGCGCAATCGTCCAGCTTTGGTCGACCGTAGGTCCGGTAGTCGCATTTCCATTGGCTGAGAACAACTTGAGCAAAGGGAAATAGAACCAAGATTAAGGATGTCATGGACTTCATGGCCCGATGATCGTAGTTATATCGCACGACAAAAGTTGCACGAGGGAAGCTCGAGGATGTGTCCGGCTCTAGACATGATCTCAGAGTCGCTTGTATCTGCGGTTCGTAAGAGACGAGCGGCTACTCCTCAAACATCAAGATTACCCGCTGTGGATATTGGCCATAAAAGAGCTGCATCCGCCGGAACAACTGCATCTAGAAGCAAAACCCTGGTGGTGGTCTTCGAGCTGTCGAGGTTCCAGAATTGGAGACTCTTTTTGTTCCCCAGTATGATGCGCGGTCATGGGCCTCCTCCAACAAGGTTTATCCCCTGTCCTCATGTTCTACTTGCTGTGTCCGTATACTGCAGCTGCTCAAGCCGCAAGTTGCGACGTATCCACCTACGGCAAACCGGAAAAGCGTGATTGCTTGACTCTCTTCGAGAAGTTCACCAGCTCTCAAAACCTCCAGACACGGTTTTTCGATGAGGAGCAACTGCGCGTGGACTCTGACAGTACTTGGCCGGGAGTCGCAAATGTCTTTGAGCAGCCTATCGTGCAGTTGCCGAGGTTCTATGCAATGAGTATGTCCATTACGTGTACTGCGATGTTTCGTAATTCAAGAACTATGATGATGACACTCCATCGCATAGATACCTGCAACTTCGCGCTCATGCCATACACGAACCCTGCAACTCGTTTGGCCAATCCATTGGACATTAGCAGCTGGGGGATCATAAAGTCGTATGGGAATTCGCTCATGCAGGATTGTTTGGAGGAAAAGTCCGCCGGTGGTGAGATCTTCATCAAATCGAGTACGTATCCTCATACCTGTCATTGCAACCCGGAGATCAACATTCTCTGTTTTACCGCGCATGTCGAGGGCTGAACGTCCATCCTGGCAGGTACATCCATGAATCCAGTCCTGGTGATCTTCATGTGGGCTAGCGGTGCAAACTTTGAGACAAAATTGAATCAGTACGAGAATGACCCTAGCTTCTCTCCGCAGTTGTCACTCGCGGAAGGCGGTGTAAATGGGACGGACGGCGATGGCATCAGGGTGGCATAATAGGGGGGTAGGCGCCTGGCACTCGAGCAACCACTGCCGTGCTGATTGTTCGGAGAGGAATGGCGGCTCCAGATAGAGACACGTCACAATCTATTAAAGTGAGCAAAGGCCGCTTGTTAGCGACTTTGGAAGCTCCGACTAGGAATGAGCCAATCGACACTACTCGTGCAGAGTACGGCGTTAGATGCAGTTGGATATGCTTTGATATATACAATGCAAACCCTCTGACGCGGTCCTAGGCACCTTTTTACCAAATTCTGTTGTCCCCCGCCACTGCCTTTGATTTCGACGTCTTTCGCATAGCCATCTTCCCAGTGCCTGGCGTCTTGAAGAAAAGACTAGGCCCATGCCCTTCCGGGACCAGATGGCTTAGATATCCCCTATGCGCGGGATCCCGGTAGTACTCGATATCCTTCCTGCTCGTAGGATCTGGCAGACGGTTGTAGAAAGATTTTCTCGACATCTCTTCACCCTCTTTGATTTGTGATTGGAGTGAATTGATAGGGTCCATCTTCCCTTGCATGATCCTGCGCATGGCAAAGCGCGTGTAGTATCGAGTTGTTACGGAACCACCAGCAGCCTCGATAGCGGCTATTGCTTGGGCGGAAGCTCGTGATATGACGACGTTGAGCGGAGCTTTCAGCTCCTCTGCGCCTTTTGCGAGTAGTTTAACACCGTCTTTGACGTTCGTGATGCAGCGGGATTGCAGGAGCTCTTTGATTGTAATGGGCTTTGATGGGTCGAGGCGGCCTTGGTCTACCCAATCTTGCACCTTGTAGAGGTTGAGGGGCTTCATGTCCACGGAGAAGCTGGAGTAGTAGACATGGTCAGTAGGTGAAGCTTCTGGGCAGGTTTGAATGACTCACTTGCTGAAATTATGATCTCCCCGTTTGCCATGGACCACCTCGTCTTTCGTTTGCCCTCCATTGAAGCCTCGGGGTACCTTGCCATGCTGCTTTTGACCTTTGTGACCCCTTCCTGAGGTTTTACCCTTGCCTGAAGATGGACCACGTCCTCTTCTTATCCTCTTATGGAGTGCACCGGGATTATCTGCCAAGCTCGCAAGAATGTGAGCACCACGTTGTTGAGTGTAGAGGAAGGGTACAAGGAATGGTGAGAGCTCTGTAGCTGGGCGAAATTTCGATTGAGAAACTCTTAGTAAATTGAACGGCCTGGGTGGCATTGTGACGACAATATTCTGGTTGACCAACGCCGGTAAGCATAACGGTGGTAGGAGTCGCGCAGTGAAAGGCTTGACTCGGCAGAATTGTGGCTTGGCACTGGTGGCACCAACAGAAATCTGCGCCCAGCCAATCGGCGAGGCTGCCGCTTTAGGGTCAAACAAGCTACTAAAGTACTGAATGAAGAGAGAGACAGCTATCTTGCTAGAGCAATATGTCTTGGCCGGAAGTGGACCAAAGGGTGTCGGCAAACATGAAGCCTACAAATGGCAGCTACGGGACCATTAAGCCAGACAACCATCAGCGCTTGAGGCAGAGATAGGCAACATTGAAGGAGAGGACGTGGACGAAGTATCTCTCAAAAGGAACCCTGCCCGTTCAATGACACGATATCTGGACGGCCCTTGCCGCTGAGATTGGTGGCATACATCAACGAAAGCGTCTGCTTTGCTTTCACACGAATTGGGCACCTGCAAAGCATTGAAGGAGAAAATTTCATCCAGCATAGCTGAATGATTTTGCTAGCGTGCATGTCTTTGAAATGCTAAACCATCGCTTTGCATTCAGTGATCCCTTTCAATATGCCAGTGACGCCTCCCGCCTTGTCTTGGAGCACAATCATAATTAGTAAACGCTTTGACTCCACGACCTCCATCATATCTTCCTAGCCATCCAGTGATGTAGACTTTACGTTTGCGGCATGAGGGCCAAAGGAGGAAGGTGCTGTAGCTTGGCACTTGGTAAAGGGTGGAGGGATCAGGAAAAGTCGTCCTCGTGGTCCGTAATCTTGTTCTTGATCCTGTGTAGAGTTTCTCAGTCGATCATCAAACACGCAACGCGAAGATAAAGGCATACCTGAGCAAGATAGTCGTGCACCAGGAGTTGAGGGGGCTGAGCTGGTCATAGCGAAATAATTTTTCCGCAAATACCTCGGCGTCACTATGCTCCACCGCTTCGCCCAAATCATTTAATAGCTGATATTCTTTCTGTGCAAGGAAACTTGGATCAAGGTCCCGGTAGCTTTCCAGAGCACGCTTAGCACCGACAATATCAAACGCCAGATGGCAGATACCAGCGCGTAGAAGGTAGTCTTTGACAGAGTATCGCATCAAGTTATTCGATATCGACTGGCGGGCCACCTGCTCAAAATACTGAATTGCGGGTAAATAGTCCTCGTCCAGCGCTGCGAGATCTCCAGCCTTGAGATAGAGCTTGTTGGCTAATGCAGAAGCATTGTCGTCGTCGTACCAGGTAGCAGCAGCCTCGTACGCCTCTCTTGCTCGCCGTCGGTCTGAGAGCTCTTCATATAGTTCAGCGAGGTTCTGTTTATGAACAGCTGCCCTCCTAAAGTTGCCTTTCGAGAGGTAATGGTCGATGGCTAGAGATAATACTCTTGCAGCCTCCTCAGGAGCTGTTTTCCGATATGCTTTGAATGCCTCTTGCAGGGTGTTCGCCATGTCGTCTGGCTCGTTCAGCTTAGTCTTCTGGATCATAGCTGCCTAGACATCGCATCGTTAACATCACTCATGAGAGCTTGTGGGAGGTCGTGCCTTCTCATATAATGAACCGGCTTCTCTGTAATTCTTCTGTAGCTTGTATGCGCTCGCAGCACTTGTATATAGTTCGACAGCGCTCTCGTACTTATCTGTACGAGCGCCGAAGAAGCTGAAGCCGGACTGGGCACTTTGTGCTGCTTTGTCGGCTTGAGACGCCAACGTAACAGGGTCTTGCGCCATCATCACCATACACCACGTAGAGGAACTTCGGCGAGTTGTAGAGCTCGAGAGCTGTGGGACAGGGAACGAGGCGAACAAGATGGAGACGAGGACCACATCACGAAGGGAGCTTTTTGCCGTGAAAATCGTAGAGCTAGCGGTTTTTGGCCTAGTGTACCCTGATCAGTCTAATGCAAGATTTGGGCCCAGAGTCCAGCATATCTCCTGAACTCAATCCCGTCAACACACCAGCCTTTTGCCTCTTGCGATGCATACTAAAAGCTCACCATGGCTACAACGGTGATATACAGATGCTCAGCAATTCTTTCGGCTGAGCTGCCTCCAATGCGCCGGAGGCTTGGCATCAGACTGTGAGGATGGTGTCTCTAATAGTCAAGCGACGACTGTTCTATTCCTTCGCTGCACTTGCGTTGTTGGCTCTAATATCTAATATCGTCGTATTTTCTGGGCTTTCAAGTGACTCCATCAAGGATCAGTTGGGTGATATCAAGGATCAATTGGGCGACATACAAATACCTGGGAGGCCAAAGAAACCATGGCACGCAGGCGAAAAGCCCGGCAGTCCACTGGAACCTGTCGATGCGCATCCCATCTCTCTGCTGATGCAAGAGGCCGATAAGAACTGGCGCAAGTACGAGGACGGCAGGTCTGTATCGTTCAAGCAGACTGTGAAGACATACAGGAGGAGGTACGGGCGACACCCTCCGCCAGGCTTCAAAGACTGGTACAAGTACGCTAGGAAAAGGAATGTCCACAACATCGACGACTTTGAACAAGTCATGGATGATATACGCCCATTCTGGGCTGTCGAGCCAAAGGTCATACGGAATCTAGCAGCCAATATGTGGAGGAACCCAGATGAAGGAGTCGCTTGCATCCATGTTCGCAATCACAAGGTTGTTAAAGAGAGCAATGGATCTTGGAGGTCAGAAACGTTGATAACGCTGATCAACAAGTTTGTTAAGTATCTACCAGATATGGATATTGCTATCAACAGATTAGACCAACCTCGAGTCGTGGTGCCTTGGGAAGACATGCAAGACCTGCTTAAGAAGGAACAAGAAATACGCCGCACGCCTCCTGAGACCATCGATGAGTTTAGCACGACCATGGAAGGTTTCATGAATATGACAAACGAAGACAATGGCGGCAATTTTCAAGACCCGCAATGGTATTCTCACGCCGGCAAGCAATATATGGAAATCGCCAGCACCGCCTGCCCACCAGAATCGCCTGCACGCCGTGACAGTGTCAGTGCCCAAGAAGCTGAGCTCACGTACAAAGACCGTCTCGGAGGTCTCATTACCAACTTCAACAAGACATCAGATCTATGCGCCGTCGGCCCACAGATCCAGGACAAACATGGCCTTCTCTACTCAAGCTCCTCCCTGCTGGCCACGAAGCGACTTGTACCCATCTTCGGCGAATGCAAAGTCAATGTCAACAGCGACATCCTTTTTCCAGCAAATATGTACTACAAGCACGATGAGAGGTACGACTATGATGATAAATCAGATTTGAACTGGGAGGACAAGAAAGATGTAATGATCTGGCGAGGCGTTACGTCTGGAGGGACTCAGGTTGCGGACAACTGGCAACGAATGCATCGCCAACGCCTTGTAATGCAAATGAACAGTACTGAAATGGCAGGCAAGGAGGTCCGTATCCTGACCGAGCAACCGGAAAAGAAGGGCGAGTTCGAAAATTACAGGGACTTCCATCCTTCGCACTTTGCTGAACAGCACACTGATGTCGGGTTTACCGAGACCTGGGGCTGTATTCCGGATTGCAGCTTTTATGAGAACGTCTGGACGTTAAGGCCTATGGTACCTATGGCAGAGCAATTCGAAAACAAGGTTCTGGTTGATGTTGACGGCCACTCTTTCTCCGGTCGATGGATTGCGTTTCTTGAGAGTAGGTCTCTTCCTATCAAGGCCACTATCTTCCGTGAATGGCACGATTCGCGACTGTTCGCATGGCGGCACTTCGTTCCCATGGACAATCGATATGATGATGTCTACACGCTACTCACGTATTTTCTTGGAGTCGGCACACCCCCGGATCAGCAAACATTAGGGAGCGAGGATGCAAATGGCAAGGCGTATGTGGCTAGACACGATACTGAAGGGAAGAGAATAGCAGATCAGGGACGGGAGTGGGCCAAGAAGGTCTTGCGGAGAGATGATATCGAGGTACGAGCTGTGGTTTTTTGAACTCGCGGAACGCAAGCTGATGAAGTGCAGATATACATGTTCAGGTTGCTTCTCGAATATGGCCGGATCATTGACGATAATCGCGATCGCATTGGCTATTCAGGAGATGGCAGCGAACTGGACAAGTATGATGGTGTCTCACCGTTCGATCAAGGCCCGCACCGTTGATTTATGAGAAAAGGGGTCGGATCCCTTGTTGCTGGAAGCATGCATGGTTTTGGGATGTAAGGCATGTGGTTTTCATGGTCCATCCAATATACCCTAGAATATTGCTTTATATGAAGGATGGTGGGAAAGTGCTGCCGTCTTGGGTGGCATGTGTTTGTATTAGTGATAGTGTAAGAGCCTCCAAACGCTTAACCATGCGGTTCCTGGCTCTCTGAGTACCTTAGCGTTCTAGCCCCTTTTCACGCTAAAGTATCTATTTCTTGGCGTGTCTAATGCCAAGGCTATCGCTAATCGGCAGATGAAACAATCAAGGTTCCTGAAACCCCTCGTTCAAGTTTACCGTAGCACTTTTCTTGAAAGCTGAAAGCGACGACGACGATAGTAATCTTATGAACCCTCTTTTGCCTAGCAGTTGCAGGAGTTGATTTTACGGAGCTCTGACGACTCGCAATACGCAGTCTGCTCCCAATTCTGGCTACGCAAGAAGCATCCCTGCCAGCCTCCTCTAGACGATACCAACATTTTTTGAATCGTGCATGACGGCTCGGCGCCTCGACTTCCTTTATAGAACCTATAAAATTCTTCTGTTGCATCCTTTCCGGATGTTTAAGAACTCGGGCGAGGGTCACTTCTTTGTCCGGCAACAGTCTAGCCCTAGAGCGCAGAGGTGACAAGAGGGGGAACAATGACACGACCGAACATTATCAGAGCTGGTGAGAAGAACCCCTGGCACTATGAGGCTACAAATGCGAAAGTTGCTGTGGAAGCGAATGGTCGAAGCATGGGAGCGTCACTGATTTGAGCGATGGCAGACACGATCGATCTTCAAAATCAGAGTGCTCCTTCTGCGAAAGATCATACACGTCAACCAGCTCGCCCAGGTCCACTAGGTGAAGGGCCGCCAGCTCCTCACCAAGCAGATGCGCTCAAACACGTTGAGCAAGAATTGTCGGAACAGCATGGTCGCAGCCCTCGAGCTTCCCAAGATCTTTCGGGTAAGGAGCTGCAACTGCTACATGAAGACGGTGATGGATACGGTAGCACCGATGGCATCGGCCAGGACTCAAACAACCTGTTGCGCAACGCAGGAGCAAATGGAACAGCGGAGGAGGACGTCGGAGACACAGACGGAGACGAGGGCATGGACGATGATTTAATGGACAAAATCTCCAGCTCTCCGTCAATTGGCGACGATGGTGGGTATCATTTACCTTTACCGTGGCCCAGCAGGGTCGCTTCCCTTCGTTCGAATTCTTCCCCCCCAGAGAATACACCATCGCCAAAACCCCCATTGGACGATTTCTCTTCTTCTCCCTTTTCCGAGACACCTACCCATTTTCCTCTTTCGTTCCCGCGAAAAGACCACGATCAAACCCCGTCCAAGGATCATCATCAGAAAGGTGGGTATACCAAGGATCGAGAGACGCTTTTTGCCGTGGACGAGCTGGATGCCGAGAGTCATGACCGCCTAAGACCTCTAATCAGCGAACGGCGGGACACCCGGTTTCAAGAGGATTTTGAAGATATGGAAGACTCCTACGAAGTGGACTTCGACCCTAACGATTTTAACCACTTTCTGCTCCCGGCAAACGATCCTCTCCTGGACAACAGCTTTGATGATGCGCCATTGTCGCCTTCTTCGACTGCCTCAAATGCCTCGACTCGCTCTTCCTCGCCAGAATCTGCCACCTCTTGGGACGACAAGACACCGGATACAAAAGATGATGATACCGAAGATATTTCCTTTCTCGATGACCCCCGTTTTATCGACTCAGGATGGGGCGGAGAGTGCTTACGAGAAACAGAGGACATTGATTTCGAGTTCGTGTACGCGCTACATACATTCGTCGCAACGGTCGAAGGCCAAGCGAACGCTACGAAGGGTGACACCATGGTGCTGCTCGATGACAGCAACAGCTACTGGTGGCTCGTACGGGTCGTTAAGGATAGTAGCATTGGTAAGCTTCGTTTGCTGCACTGACAGATTGTTGCTAACGGTCTCTAGGCTATCTACCTGCGGAGCACATCGAAACACCTTTGGAGCGTTTGGCGAGGCTAAACAAGCATAGAAATCTCGATGTAAGAATAAGTTCCAAGCCTAGGGTGGGTTCTCAATTGACCCTATATCACCTTTTTAGCTAGCTTCAACGATGCTTGGCGACGAGGAAGACAAAAGGGCAGGAAACCCTCTGAACCCTCTGAAAAAGGCCATGAAAAGGCGCAATGCAAAGACCGTTCAATTCACAGCACCATCTTACGTGGAGCCGTCGGATGTCGAATATTCCTCTGACGAGGAGGAGGGCAATGGAGAGTATGGAGCCCAGGAACAGGATAGCACCGCTGCCCAGAGCAATGACCAGTCACATCAAGTCGACGAAGGCGTGGTAGAGCCACTCAAACCTAGAAGTCAAGATCGAGATGTCAGGCAGAATGGAGATCCCTTGGTAGCTCAAAGTCTTAGCAGTGGCGGAATTGACCAAGGTAACCCTCCAGATGCAGCTCGAACGAGTGATGAGATATTCGACGGAGGTGAACCTAGCCAGTTGGAATCTCATCGATACCTTTGGCTGACCACTACAGATAATGGTACTGCCGTTACATCAAGGAAAGGGACCGTGCGCAACACTGATTCTTTCTTCAAAGACGATGGGGTGGAAACCCGAAAGATCAATCTTACGCCCAGTCTCTTGCGGGATGATTCCAATGGGTCCGTGTTGAAATCAAACGAATCCAAAGACGTAAGTACTCCTCGTCGCGATAACGAGGACTTTACTAAAGTTATCTCAATCAGCTCAAGACCAGAGCAAGTCTCGATTCTCTCGAGAAAGAACCCCCTCCCGAAAAAGGCAAGGAAGACAAGAAGCGGAAAGAGAAGAGAGGCATGCTGGGTGGCATGTTTAAACGAAGAGACAAGAAAGGCAAAACTGACGACAAGGAACTTGAAGAGAGCAAGAAATCATCGAACGAACTGGCAAGGCAGGCATTGTCACCCCCGTCGAGGTTGTCGCCACAGCCAAAAGAATCGATGGAATCATTGACCCAGGACCCACAAGCTGCCAAAGCTACTTCACCACAGCAGAGGCAAACCGGCAAGTTACAGAAGACTCCGCCCGCGAAATTGTCTCCCAAATCATCGTACTCCCAAAGAGAAGCAACCAACCAGAGACCGACTATCACAGAACAGCAGAACACTTTCACTCCAGAACCGAGCCGGGCGCCGCCCGCTTTCTCCGAGCCGAATGGATCTATGCGCATGGTCCAGACGGAGCCAGAATTGGTACCAGAGGACAGGGGTCCAGCTTTGGATTTCAACCCTCCAGTGACCACACGTGAAGAACCTATGCATTTAGGGTCACCAAGAGATGCGAGGCGTGGCATGTTTTCGCCCGTCAGAGATGAGGAACCAGTGCAGTCAGGATCCCCGAGAGATGCTTCGCGTGGGATGTTCTTGCCTGGCAGGAACGAGGAACCATTTCAATCAGGGTCACCAAGAGATGCCTCGCGTGGGATGTTCTCGCCTGTTAGAGACGAGGAACTAATCCAACCAGGTTCACCAAAAGACATCAGACGTGGGATGTTCTCGCTTGTCCGAGACGAAGAATCTATGCAATCGGATTCGCCAAAGGACGCCAGACGCGGAATGTTCTCACCTATCAAGGACGTCCTCAAATCCGCCCCTACGGACCCAAAACCCGAGAAAGTCAGGAAAGCCAAGCACCGCATGCACATGGACGACTTCGACTCTTCCTCCGAAGACGAAGAGGCTGAAACCTTCTCCGAACGTCCGTCGTATGAGGAACCAGACTCTCACCTTGCTATCGCCCAAGACGCTCAACATGGAAACCACGAACCCCGAGCTCCTACAATTCCCCACGCCGAACCACCCCGGGAAGCAGCCCGAGAACGGCTGTCCGAATCTCCCATTGAAGTTTTACCTCCTCAAGAACACGACCGCAACCCTCAGCCTCCTCAACTCATGGTGGACACTTCCTCGCAAGAGGACCCATCCACCTCTCCCGTATCTCCTCTCTCGTCACCCGAACTCATCGAAGCACCTAACGAGAATGCCGCCCGTGAAGAGACCCCAGCGTCCACTGCGCAGTCATCGACGCCTACCTGGAGCGATGCTAGTCTGAGAGCCTATCTGGAGGATGATAGCGATATCAGAGACTTACTTGTCGTGGTTCACGATAAAAGCCAGATTAAGCCAGTTGGCCGGGATCATCCCGTGGTGAAGAAGCTCTTCAAAGAAGAAAATAGGAAGCTGGGAGAAATTTCAAACCGACTTGACGGATTGCTGGGCGACTATTTGGCGCGAAAACAGCAACGGACGGCGGTACGGTGACCTTGCGGATTCGCCCGGCATATGTATTTGCAATGTGTGATTTTCTGCTTTCTGAGGAAATGGCCATCAAAGGTGCAATAGGTTATGACCATGATGGACGGACTGGAGTATACCTTCTTGCTTGAATGGCTGAAGCGTCGCCTTGCGTGAGCTGTACAATCTACGCTCTACTGTACTAGCAAAGGTTTGGCTTTCTCTCTCTGTTGTTTTGGGACATACGATATCGGGAATATCTAGCTTCTGGCGATGACGTGTATATAGCCAAGACAAGCATCCGCAAATCACGACGAGCAATATATATTAGCCCATTGTCTATCAGCCGCACTGCCAGAAAATGGGCAGTCGTAGCGGTACAAGCCTTCTGAATCTCGAACCGTATCAGCGTCAAGGGAAAGGCTCTTCGTTCATGAGACTGCCTTCGGCTTGGCATATCTTACTCGGGGGTGGTGGGTATCGACACACAATGACGCTGCTGCCAACAGTCATATCCACGAGCAGATAGTTTCTTTTTTGCTGTACTCAGACAACTTCTAACCACCGAAGCCTGAAATTCGATATCAATGTCTACTCGGTTGACATGCTTGTACTATCCACCTCACCCAAATAGAGGTCAATGAGCAGGACCAAACGACCATTCAAAGAACAACTCTTATGTTTCGGTATTTGGCAACTACCTACTCGAGCGACGCAAATAATGTCGCTTCAGATCTAGAGCCCACCATCCCGCACCAAGTAACCTTCTCCCACCGCTCCGCCGGCTCTCACAGCATCCCGACAATCAACCCTGCAGCTCCCATAGCCAAAGCTCTCGCATTGACCTCGCCCGTGGCCCTCGGCGCAGCGCCGGCCTTACTCGAAGCCGACGTGACTCCCATGCTGCCCGCTGCAATGACCGGATTGGAGCCGCCACCTGATGCGCCGCCTTCACCACCGCCTTGGCCACCGCCTGCGCCGTTGTTCTCTCCACCGCCTTGGGCTACCCCGGATGCGGCTGCGGTGAAGGCGGCGCTGGCCGCGGCGCTGGCCGCGGCGGTAGCTGAAGGGCTGGAGCTGGCGCTGGCTTGGCGGGGGATGAGGTCAATGTTGCGAGGGATGAGCTAGGAAGAGGGATGGTTAGTCAATTGACTGGATCGGAGACAGGAAGGTGGACAGAAGACGAAAGAGGACAAGCCTACTTCAGCGCTTGCCCCTGCGAATAGGGAGAGCAGACAGCAGAGGAGGATGGCGGATGTTGATGTGCGGAGATGCATATTGTTTTTGCTGCGGACGCTGAGATGGAGACTCGAGACTGTTTTGGAGGGATTCAGTCGACCTCAGAGGACAGGTTCGCGGACAATTGAACGAAATGCTGGCGGAAGGGGTCTATGTACTCGAGGAAAGGAAGATAAAAAGCAAAACGCGGACATCATGTTAATCTTGATCTCAAAAAGCGATGACATCTTCATCATTCCCAACCGTCAATCACATCCTTCCCATTCAGCAGCACTAGGGCGACGTGTCACACTGCATATTTCCCAGAAAGGCAGCTCATAGATCATGATCGATGGCTATTCTTTCCACCTCGACCCTTAGCTCATTCCTAGGCTGTGGGACGATGCTTGTGCTTATCTCTGCTGTGAGAAGTGAATAACGCATGACGATGGAATTGACGTCGCGCTTAAAAAGCCACTTCGAGGGTCTGGAACGGTGCCCGGAGGCCGGCCCCTAAACGTCCCCAGAGGAGGCCTTATTTTAGCGTGAGGGAGGCTCCGCACCGCCCGAGACCCACCGCTTAGGCAAAAGTCGAACTTTTCACATGTCTTGTTTATGCACGCTCTGTCCCAGCTGAAGCGTTCGGTCCATTTCTTTCCCACAGCCTCGAACTGCTCATTCCACTGTAAGATCTTACCCTAAGGGTCAAGTCTGATTCACCTCTAAGCAAGATGGCAGCTCACGGTGATAAGAGACGGCGGTATCTCTCAGATCCAGGAGCATTCGCTGAGCGACGCTCGCAAGGAATCGTCCACATGTCAGCGCTAAAGCTAGCCGAGCATAAAAGGGGGCCAGCCTTGTATTCATACGCCGCGCTTGCTGTGAGTGGATCTACTCGTTGTATACCGTTGAGCTCGACGTTCAATAGAAAAATCCTTGTGTTGCGCGTGGAGATGTTATTGTTTCCCTGCTTTCCGTGTGAACTTGCCCAGTTCTCCTGTCTCTTGCATGCATGATTAGATTGAAACCTCCCAATGCCCGCTTGCACTTCGTGCATCACCACCGCTTTCTCTTGCTCTTCCTTGGGAATGTTGCGTACTGTTTGATTGGCCCCAAAGATGATCGATCGAGGCTGTGGATAGCTCGGGGGAACGGCTCCGTGCAGTCTGCTGCTTGTCTTGCCCGATGCGGCCACGGAGATACTCGCCCTGTATGCATACCTACAGAGCCGAAACGTCCTCGTCATGTTCTTGCATCCCTGCAATACCAACCTTCTGCTGGTTGGCCCAGCGTCTATCCTCTCTCTTATTATTTCTCCTTTTTGTATGTGTGTCTACATATAATGCTCAGCTTTATGACCAAATCAATTACCCACGCATTGAGTATGCCAACTTCTCTGGCTTCTGACCGTCCTTACAATGCCTATTGATGTTTTGCCTCTCCATCCGCACTGAACACCGACGCAAAAGGCGGAATTCTCGTATGAGCGGGCGTTGTAAGTCATGGCCGTTGTTCTTGTCATTTTCTTTGCGAGCCTCGTCTGGTGCCTTCTTCGCCGGCACAAAGCGAGCGCTAGTGGAATATCGCTTCGGCTGCTCGATGAAAGCGTAGTTGGGGAACAGGAACTGAAGCCGGCATTTTGGCTTATAAACTGGAGTTTTCGGGCGAGGTCGCACGGAAGATGGACGGCGAACTCGAAAGCAAAGAGGCGTGGAAAAAAGAAGACGACAATTATGCCCATTGAACTGGATTCCGATGTTACCGTTGGGGAGTTGCAGTGATCAACTCATTCTTGAGCATCTTGACTGGGTCCACTCAACTCCAACCCAGACTCTAGCTCGAGCTTCCAATTGCGGCTACTTTAGTGATATCAAGAATTTGGCATTCCGATCAATGATCTGCAAGGAAATTTCGAAGGACAACTTGGAAGTCGCATCCAATAGGTAAACTTCCAACAAATCCCGAGAGAGGTCCCCATGTTTGACAATACGAGAGGATTCCTGGTACCTTTAACGAAATGGCAGTAGCGAATGGGCTAGGTGCATGATAATCTAGCATTTGTAGGCCGAATCTGCCATGATCGGAACATGACTGGACAACCACAAGCAATGAGCGGGATATTGTCTAGTCCGTGGTCAAAATGTCAGCTATGGACATATCAGATGTTAGATTTCGATGAAGAGAGAGCGGAATTCTTGAGATCATCTCGTGACCGCCCTTTTTAAGTGCTTGTTGTGGTTCTCTGAAGTCTGATCCGAGTCAAAGCCTGACAAACGACCGCCTTGACATGGAGTAATCAGGATGTCGCAGACCTCATTGTTTGCCTTTCCTAACGTCAATACTTGATCATCAACTTGGAAAGAGAGGGCCCTTTCAAACCTGGACATCACCGAAGAAGTTAGGTTGTATTGCATTAGTTATCACTATAGAATGGGAGTTGGGAGGGAGAATCCGAAGCGGTAGCCGGCTGCGTTCAAGAATATATCCGTCCCGAGATCACATGACCTTCCTGCTAAGGCTTATATTTCTGTGCAACAGACAGTGCTCCCCTCCTTCGAACCTTCACAATCTTCCCAAGTTTCCTTCCACCATTCACACCCAAGTCTCATCGAGTTCACGATGACAACCAGTCAAACTCCGTCAAATCTTTCTCTGAGAGAGCTGGGAAAAGGCATCCACCGGTATGTTTTCCTTTCATGTGTGCAAACACGCGAGGTTGCTGATCACGACATAGCCTTTATAAAGACCGCGAGCATGCTGACTGGACCCTCAAGACGGGCCCTTCCACCATAGAAAGGGCCCACAGCTTTGTCCTATGGGCTCGATCTACTTATTTCACTGCTGCTTGCAACGGCAAGTTCAAGGCAAGTCTTTGCCCCCGGCCTGGTGTAGTCTGGCGCTCATGATCTTGTTAGGAAGCCACAATTCGAGAGTCCGACATGACGGAGTACGGTCCCTTCATGGTCCACCGGATGCTGCAGTATTGCTACCTGCTCAGCTATGATGACAACCCACTCTCTTTACACGGGGTTAACGAGACCTATACATCCAAGCTATGTACTAACGTCCACATGTACAACATGGGAGATTACTATGACCTGCAGGGCATGAAGCTGGAGGCGCTTAACAAGTTAAAAGAGTGCTTGAAACTCTCCGAGGCCGAGCTGGCCGAGCAAGATGTTGCCAGTCTCTTGGAAGTCCTTCCGTGGATCTACTCGTCGACGCTGGATTCGGACCATGGCTTGCGTACAGTTGCTGCTTCGTTCGGTTACCGTCACTGGGAAACATTGGTTGCGCGTCCCGACTTCGAGGAAGTTGCTGCGGAAAACCTCAAGTGGGTTATCGACATCATCTCACAAAAGCGCGGTCAAGAGTCCAAGATTGGCCAGTCATCAGAGTACCAAGATCCAGGACCGAGGCCACGGCATTACACCCCAACGCCCCCTTTGCCCCCTTTGCCCCCGGTGCCCCCGGGGTTCATGTATCCTCAACCAAACCTCGGTTTTGCCTTCCATTAAAAAATTGTAGAACACCCAAAACTTTCCGCCCGGCGATGGCAATTCGAGGGACTTTTCATGGGTTGCTTCGGAAATCCTCTGGTGCATGTTCTTCATCCAACGATTGGTTGTGCAAGATGGCAACATAAGAGGCTCCGGTGGACTTGACTATTGGAAGCTGAGTATAGGGATGGTCTCTCGGGCATGAGTCCTGTGAGAGGAAGACCTCGCACCAGATGACGCGGAATGAGCGACGATTGTATAGTGAAATGGAAATTCCGGGTCCTTGCTTTGTCAATAAGCATATGGAGGAAGCAATGGCTTGATGTCGAGTTTAAGCGTGGTCATACCTATTAGCTACCCACTGACACGGTAGAAGATGTAGTCTAGAAATCTACTCTGCAGCTCAATTCAAACCGTCTTGAACATGCATCTAGGCAGGTCAGTGTCGCAGCCGAGTTCGTTCGACTATCTGCTCAGGAACCAGTGCACTTGGGGCAATACAACAGTAGATCCCCGAGTGGCTAGACATCTCTCAATGCAGGCCGGCTAAAAATGGCATGCTGCGCCTCAATGTCGCATAGATCCCCTCCCTAACCTCCGCACACACACGACCAAGCTCAGCACATTGAAGCCACAACACTCAAAATGGCAACCGGAAAGCGGGAGAATGAGACCCCCGAATCAACTCCATACTTAGACCATGATAAGTTATACATCTTTCCAACATTGGTAAAGTTCTGTTCGCGACGCCAAGTTCAATGACTCCCGAATCTCCGATAGGCTGCTGCGGGCTTTGCTTCGGGGGAGAAAGTAGAAAGTCGATTGGGGGCTATCCTCAATTCCTCATAGCTTTATGCGACGTTTGATCATCATCAAGACGCACCTTCCCGCAATATTGATCAAGTTTGCAACCTCCTTGCAACTTGATTTCTTTCCTCATTTCTTCTCGCTGCAATTAACGCTCCTCACCTGCAGCCATCTTTCGTGTATGAAGCTTCCATTGTTGACTGCTCCATGATGTTATGAAGCTGCCATTGAGATTCTCGTGTGGCGCAATATGCGCTAGCTGGATCCTACTGCCGCACATCGTGCTTGGTCAAACTTGCTACTACCCCAATGGCGACCCTTCAACAACAGATTACCCTTGCTCTTCTGACGTCGAAGGTCTCTGTTGCCCGCTCAATTGGCAATGTCTATCCAATGGCCTCTGTTATCTAGAGAATGAACAATACTACGGCCGTTACACATGTACCGATCAGACGTGGCAGTCCCCAGGCTGTCCGGAAATATGCACCGACGGTGTGTACTGCTGTAACTGACCGTTCGTCGGTATATGCGCGCTGACCGGTCGACAGGAAATACGGACTCTGGAGACCAGGCTGTTCTGCAATGTTCAGGTCATGGTGGAAACTGGTGCTGCGACCACAACCGAAACGCATCCAATGTCTGTTGCGATAGTACCAACTCCAATGACTTCTTCCCCTTGGCCAAAGGAATTTCTGTAGCATCGATAAGCACTACCGGCCCTGCAGCAGCTTCTGCTATTATAATCCTCGGAAATCCTGGCAACGGAGCTCAGTCGTCAAGTGAGACTACGTCAACATCACCATCAACTTCAACGACACCTACATTAACCTCGACTTCAACTACCAAGAGTGCAGGGGGTGGTGTTGCATCTCAGTCCCCCACGAGCCTCGTCAGCGTCATCTCCATCGTCTCCGTTGTAACATCAGCAGCCGACGGCGCCCCAGTTACAACGACAAACATGATAATGACAACAATCCCAGCAGCTTCTGTTCCTGCTTCATCAAATTCAAACCATCACGGCGCCGAAATCGGCGGAGGCGTCGCTGGCGGTGTCGCTTTCATCGCTCTGGTTTCATTAGCATTCTTCCTCCTCCGCAGACGTAAGAAGAGACAGCAGTACCAGTCAGCCCCAACCACGGAGTACCGCAACTCCATGGACTACATGTACAAAGCCAAAGATATGGGCTCGCCAAACACAGCGGAAACATCGCCCGAGATCGATGGCACGCCGATTGTGGGTGTTTATCGCGGTTGGGGACCCACGGGTCAAGAGGGAGCCCTGAGAGTCGTGAACGGGTCGGATCGTCAGTCTACGGTTTCCGGGTTGACGGGTACTAACGCAAGGGATTCTTTGATGAGCGAGTTGGAGAGTCCAACGACGCCTGTGAGGGCTGGGCTTAGGAGTCATCAGCCAACGATTGCTGAACAGCCGTTTGAGTTGGCGGGGGAGGGTGAGAAGTAATAGTATATAATCATGAGTCATATACCAAATGTAACGAATGCGAGCCAGGATAAGCTAGTTGCTGTTCAGGTGGTGGAGCCTTGCTGCGTGCAGCTGATCTCTAGTGAATGACGACTGATGCCTCGTTGAATGACAGTGGGGATTTTGGAGCGGGATATCCAACTCTCTGAGATTAATCTCTTACAACACAAGTTCTGCAGACTCTAAAGGTAGAGCACAAAGCGAACGAATGTAACAAAACATCGTGTGCTTAACACTTTCCACCCTTCTTGCACATCTCATCTATCTCCAGCGCTGCGTCTTGCACGCTCGCTCACTCGGCACCTATCGTACCAAAAAGGGTAATCCCAACGCTGTTCCCATTTCCCTGCCGTGTCCACCTCCCCGCGTCCGTCCGCTCGGCGACGAGGTCCGTAAAGTTCGCGTCGCGGTCGTCTCAAGCCCTGATTCCAGCCAGCGTTCAAGGGCTCCCTCGCCGGGCCATCTCGTGCACGTAGACTTGGTTATTTTGATTGCGATGGTTGTTATTTAGCTGGCTTGGATTTACGGGACCGAACCGGCCTGTCAGCGCCGTTAGCTCCTCGATCCTCACAGCGTCGCCGCCGCATAACGGGGGGAAGGACTTGCCAACGGCCCCCCGCTCCACCCCAAAGATGACCCGATCACCGCGCCCGCAACCGAGACCCCATTGAACGCCCCACAAGCGATCTAGCCTGGTCAACAGCGTCCGAAAGGGCGCACTGGGCCCATCCCGCGCGTTCCACCGCGCGCGGAAAACCACCCCCCCTCCCTGCTCCCCATCCACGGCGACCACGTCTTCCCCAACGACACACACACCGCCGGCCTCGGCGCGTCGCCCCTCGCGAACCGAGCTGAAGCGGAACGGGCGCCCGCACACCCAGTAGCCCGCGACGGGATCAGCATGACGAACGGCCCGCACACATACCGGCAGCACGAGCACGTCGCAACGGTCAGCGCCCTGATCCCTGACGCTCGCTCCGGCTCCCGACCGCCGATCACCACGACGGAACCCGACCGCGCAAGTTTCCAGTCGAGGCGTCCACGGCGCCCGTTGCTCCCGAGCCGGTTCGGCACGTCGAACGCTCTCCTCCGCGCCAGCACCGACCGTGCGCGACCGCTGAAGGACGTACGGGCTCGCGGCGCCCGAAGAGGGGGGTCGAGGATGGTAGTGGATGAAGGGAGGGTGGAGGCGGGTTAAGGTGGTGCCAGGGGCGAAGTAGCCGGCGAGGGGGAGGATGCCGCCCGTGGAGAGGGTGAGGGTGGCGCGGAGGGCGATTGGGGGGGGGATGTGCTGGCGGGGGTTGAGGGGGATGGGGCCGACGGAGAGGTTGGGCGGGGTTGCGGTGGTGAGTTGACTGCTCGGTTGCGCGGGTTTGGGGGAGGGGGTGACATGGTCGGGTTGTTGTTGTTGTGATGAGGAGGGTGGGCGAGGTTCGTGAGATGGAGAGGTTGAAGGAGGAGAGGGTTTTCTGTCTTTCGGTTGAGAGTATATTGACAGGACAGAGGAGCGATCACTCCAGCCGCAAATCCTTTCGGCGGGCAGATCATTTGAACCCTGCCCGCCGACGGACACTTAAGTCCCCGGCGGGAGGTTGCATCAGGAAACTCAGGGCTGGTATCTTTCGAGGCGGCGTGATAGCCCTCTTGGCAGAGATGAGAGAGTCATATCTAAGCCAGATGAATTCTTCAACGAGTCCTTGAATATCTGGAATTGAATTTGGCATCTGGAGCTAATTTCTGATCTCTAGGGAAACAAGGTTGCGCCAAGCCTCAGCCGTACGCTATTCTGAAGGAAGTCTAGTGCAGATCTCCGCATCTCGATTATGACTAGTGCTACGCCACCAGACGCGAATAAGGTGCGCTCTGCCAACTTGCGAAAAGTATTTCTTGGCTGTGCATCTCTACCACCAGCCAGTGCGATAGAGGTCTGTACATTGAAGGTGGAAAATGCATGTAGGTCTGCATATGGAGCAGGGGGTTTTCTTTTCTTTTCCCCTTAACTGTCTACAAACGATCTCTCAACCTTGTCATACCCTCAGCTCCGCCTAGTAAAAGTTCACCCACCTTGCCGTCTCTCGAAAAGAGCATCTTAGTCAAAAGATTGGTGAAGGTGTCCACCGGCTTGGTCACCAGCTTTTCCTCCCACATATTCGCATCATAGGAGACTCTCAAGTTCAGATGATGCTCGTGCTCATAGATGTCCACCAGCATACTGGCATTGATCGTGAAGTGCACAGCCAGGTCTCTCCGCGGCTTGAGGTAGCCTAGTTCGCCTTTTGGAGCTCTGTGTTTCAGAGTCCGAGAGAAGACCTCGCCTCCAAGAGGATCCCAGTCGATCATTCCCGGCCGGATGGTTTGTGGGCCGAGGCAGTCCATGGTGCTCGCCCAACCCTCATGTTTATATTGGATCGTTGAGAGGAGCTCATCCTGCACCTGTTGCAGAAAAATCGCCAACCGTCATGTCTTTGCGTATTTTTTCCGCGTACGGGACGCACTGCCATCATGGGCCCCTTACCTGACTCAACTCTACAGAGAGGACTGTCCCTTGCCATTTGGCGGCCCATCTTCACGCTTCCAAATAAGACATCATCAACACTCCAAAGGCTCCCCACTGCCAGTGCCCAGGCAGCATGTCCGAGGGTGGGTAGTGTAACAAACGAGTTCGTGCCTCCCGCCTTCTTGATCTCTATTGTTCTGGAAAACTGCGAGCAGCCGAGAGCTTTGTATCCTGGAGATGGACGTTAGACACCTTCAAGACTTTTATACCCGGCGGCCAGGTATTGCTTCCAAAATGCCACTGCCTGATTCTTCTGGTCAGACTTTGAATTCTTCCACTCAATAAAGCTTTTGAAAGTCGGGCCTTGAGGCTCGCTCTTCAATTGCTCCATATTGTTAAAGCGTTCTTGTGGCTTGTCCATAATTACGCGTCGCGTTCAACCGTCGAAGCCACCTTGATGACAGGTCCAGACGAGGAAGCTTCTGTCGCCTTCGCTGACAATAGCATATCTGAAGAGAGGATCACCGGAGCCCACACGTTTGCTCATGTCAGACGCCTTGTATTTGGCCAAATTGTAACCACTTTCCCGTTGAATCGTATCATTCACGACAACTCGAAGTATCCGATCCTTGTGTTTGACATGCCTGGTGCGTAAGATCTGGTTCTTGTTCTGCTGCTGCTGCCGCGTCTGGCGCAGTAATTTTTGATTAAACGAGACACGCATCTCGAACACTGTCTGGAGCATTATAGCTCCGAAGACGATATGCAAAAAGAAATCAGAAGTTCGCAGCGAAGAAAATGTCCTCGATCAAATCTTGTTGAACACCACAAGCCTCTGCGCAGGCTTGGACAACGTTTCTGTCGAGCTCTTCTGGCCGAGGGTCGACTTCGCTGTCCTTGTCCGGCTCCGTGGGACGACACGAGTTCGCCATGTCCATAAGTACTAGATGATTGAATATCGTCTCGGTGTCCAGCGCAATATTCCTCTCCCGTGCCGCAGTAATCAACCGCATCGCCGTGACCGAATCACCTCCTTCGGTCCAGAAATTGCTATCATTGCTGATGTCTGACTCTTCTAGGCCTAGGACGTGACACCACGCAACCCGAAAGGCAGGATTGCAGACTCGAAAAGTGTCAAGAAGTTGGAGAGGACGCACGAAGGAGATTGCCGTTTCGCTGTCAGGGATCCTCTAGACCCAGACATAAAGATTGGTCACTGCCTACGAATGTGGCAAACACTCCAGTGACAACACCCGTCGTATCCACTTACACTAGGGGTAGACGACTACCTCCGGATACGTACCGAAGGCGAGATCTGCATCCGTGCCCCTAGCGTTGTAGGCGGGTAACCTAGATGATAGGATCGCGAACGTCGCTGCTTTCGCTGCTGATGGCTTTTTCCGCACCGGTGACTTCGGTCGTTGTGGTAGGGATGGGTGTCTCTTCCTCACTGGTCGGATTAGAGAGGCTGTTAATAAGGGCGGAGAGAAAACCAGTCCCGCTGGATGTGGTGATTTGCTCAGCATCTGGCGGTGTTCAAGGCAGCGGCGTTTGCGGTGGAGGATGAGATGTATGGGCAGGATGTGGGTGTTGCTGTGAGGGTTGTCGAAGGAGAGGAGTTGATGCGGTGGGTGAGGGTGAAGGTGGCTGCGTTTAAGGTGCCGAAGAGGGTGGGGGAGTTTTTTACTTCGTATGTTGCGGGTTTTAAGGGTCATTTGTGCAAAAGACGTTGCTGATGGGATGTGGATTTTCTTCGTGACAGAGATCCCGAAGACGGCAATGGGGAAAGTGAGGCGGGATGTGCTGGCCGATATGGTGGTGGAGAAGGCGGGGACGACGCCGAAGCTATCCCATCGTCTGGCAGGGGGTAAAATTCAGGGGTTCCGACCGAACATCAAAAAGTCCCGTCTTGCAACTCACCATAACTCAATAACGAGGACCCCTATAGAAAAGTTTATAGTTTCGCATTTATTTTTCTTAAGTAGATCTTGAACTTCGCAACTGAAAGTTTTACTATAAAGGTTGTCATTAGAAAGTTATTGGGCTGCGAAAATATGGTATTTTAATGTTCTGCCAAGACATTTTACCTCCAAGGCGCCAGACGATGGGATAAGAAATTTCTTGATATATAGCATGGGATCTACTTGAATATTCTGGCTACAGCCCTTGAATTTGAGTTGTAAATGGTAAGATCAAGGGCGCTGAGACGGCAAGAGCTTGGGTCGCAACATATGTACGTCACACTCGTGTATTAAAGCCAAAGACTCAGAACGTAGCAATGATATATCCCCACAGTACCACAGCATCGCCCGTCTTCTCGAGTGAATCTCTGCATCACGGATATCTAAAGAATATAGCCTCAATCCTATCGTTTCGATTAATGGTTTCCATCGAAGATCCACCTTGTAGCGTATGAAGTTGTCTGTCGAGCGATAATCGTGCCGGAATCCTGGTCACACCTTCGTCCAGCCTTTGAGACCGCTGTGCTAGATATGAGGTACGAAGCTCGACCCCTGGATGGATGCAAAAGCACTGGGTGGCAGCGCACGCAGGCTTAGGAACACCTCCACGATCACATATATTCGGACGATGATGTAGACCCCAGCAATCAGAAGAGTAAGCAATAACGAAAGAAGTTTATATCCGAGGATGCTGCATTCCCATAGACATCTAGTATCACAATCACGGCAACCATGACCCCTGCAATCAAGCAATAGATCGAGCTTGCTCTCCACATCCATTATCCTATCATGACGAGAATCAAAGGCCCCGGGCCAAAATAGCATTTCGAGTCGAGATATTCATGCTTGTAAACAAGGAGCTATACGGTTAGGCAATTCGGAAGAAGGAGCTTGCAGGGAAGAAAAGAAGAGGTGGAGTCACGATGTGAAGCGATACTTCAGGTACTTTAGGTACTGTTGTAAGGCTCGGGGCCAGTCTTGCGCTAACATGGGGGCCCCCTGGGAGCTCTTAGAGGCCGTTCCAGGTAGAGGTAAAGGTACTTTTAGGGCTTTGTCTTAGGGTGGAATTAAGGGTCTTGACATCACTACTTCGGACCCTTTCTTTCTTTCTCATCAAATGAAAATTTGATAGAGCACATAAGGAACTCGAGATGGTTGAACAAGAACATCATGAGTATAAACACCCTGATGTTACCCGTCTGAAGGTCACTCTACTCTAATGCAGAAAGCCCGCACTGCTTCTTCCGAGAAGCAAAAGGTCACCCTTAGCTGCGAGCAATGCCGCCAACGTAAAACACGATGCGATAAGACCCATCCTTGCGGCGCTTGCCAACGCTCAGACTTGGAGTGCACTCTCGTCCGCCGTTATCGGCTCCCAAGGGGGCGCGCCGGAACCGATAACATCAAAGACGCTGATTTGAATAACCGTGTCGCCAAATTGGAAAACATCCTTACGGACTTGCAATCTAGCGGTAACTCCAGAGCAGTGCAATCCGAGCTTCTTGAGCAGAAGGCAAGTCAGCATTGAACCTTGCGAATACCGCTCGCCGCTGAATGCATTCGCTGGTCTTCACACCCTCATTTCAATGTAGCCCAGGTCTGAACAACGAGGGGGTCGATGGCTCCTTCTGGGCTGCACTCAATGATGAGGTATGTTTCACTCATGTTCTAGGGACAATCCCATCTAGGGTGAGAGATGGGCCTTTGACACTGAACAAAGGTAGCTGGGATTCGTGAAACGCTCGAAGAATTTCCAGATGACGAGTCTGACGATCTTTACCAAAGTACTTTGCCGAGCGCGGACAATGGCTCATCCTCCCAGGACTTTGACATGATCCTGTTTGGCGCCTCTTCTTGTGTGGTCAATCCTGCTTTACTGGATCTGCCTCCCAAGTCAATGCTCATCGCGCTTCTGGAAACCTACGTCTACCGAGTAGACTCTGTTCTGAAAGTAAGCCACGTGCCCTCACTCCGTAAACTCTTGCTTTCCGAAGAACCAGTATCTGCAGAACCCTTGGATTGTCCATCTCGCGAAGCGCTCAAATTTGCCATGTGCTTCACAGCTGTCTGTACCATGACTGAGGTTGAAAGTCGGAAGATGTTCATGGAGGAGAAGGACAAGATCATAAACAGATTTCGTCTGGCAACCGAAGTGATGCTCTCTCGAGCAAAGTTGCTCACCACTTCAGACATTACCGTGCTCCAGGCCTTCGTAATATATCTTGTAAGTGAGCCCCCCGTAATGGACCACTGTATTGTCCTCTTTCAATCATCTGTCATTGTTTATCAAAATCTGACTTAGCTGACGATAGTATGAATAGGCTGGACGCCGCACTTGTACTGGCTACAAGAAGATCTGGACTCTGATTGCAAGCGCTGTTCGCATTGGGCAGTCCCTTGGGTTGGACAACGATGAAGGCCGCTTCCGGACCCCCTTTCAGCTGGAGATTCGCCGGAGGGTGTGGTATTCAATCGGTCTACTTGACATGCAAGCAGCATTCGATGGGGGATCGCACTCCGTGATCGCTCATAACGGCTTGCTGGGTCGTCCACCCCTCAATATGGACGATTCAGCCATGTCTTCAGCTTTCAGTCGATCCGTCTTTGTTGAGCAACCAGGTCTCACAGACATGTCCTTCAGCTGCATGACACATGAGGGACTGATTTGCTGGAGAAGGCTAACCCACGTTCCCACGAATTCCGAAGGCCAACCCGTGAAGATAAGGCAAGACTGGACCAACAGATCCAAGATAGTCATAGATTGGGAACAGCGCATGAACGAAAGATATCTAAAACATTGCGATACGACGCAGCCCTTTCAACGGTTCATGAAAATCGTTGGCCAAGACATGATTGTATCCATGAGACTTCTCGAGCGCCGTCCGATGCATCGCCTATTCAGAGCCGGCCCTCCTCCAGCCGACGACTTTAACGTTTTGGAAGTGGCCACTGACGTTGTCGAGGCCTCGATCCTGAAATTCACTGACCCGAGCCTCGCACCTTGGAGTTGGTTCGCTTGGGTCAAGTGGTACATTTTGGCTGTCGTCCTCGCCGAACTTTGTGGAAATGGCAATGGGGCACTGATAGACAGAGCTTGGAGGGTCGCTGAAGAGGCTTTCGCAAAATTTTCTGATCTGGTCATTGATGTTCTTTGGAGATCTGTTGAAAGACTTATGCAAAAGGCACGATCTACGAGGGACCGCTCTCGAGTGTCATCGCCACCCATTTCTGCACCTTTTTATTCAGGACCAACATCTTCGCCCGGGAAACCGAGACCAAGCAGATTCAATAAGGAAGAGAATCGATTTCGAGATAATGAGTGGACTTGGCATGCTAATATGCGAGCTCATGATCGAATCTCGCAAGCGGTACAAAACCCAGAGCCTCCGAGCGAGACTGGCCAATCGAAACCACAATTGCTAGCAATGGATATTGATAGTTTTGTGCCCGAGACAAGGGTGGATGAGTCGGAATATATGTCCTGGGTCAACTGGGAATCCTTTGTGCAGGATGTTGGTAACTTCAATGAGCAAGATATGCTAGCGTCATTTGTGGTTTGATATGGTACAAGTTACAAGGAAACCTGAAACCGCGCTTTGTCTTCCCACAGCAGCCGTCCTGATACTGGTTTTACAGATCAAGCCTGCTTTTTCGTGCCAGCTGGATCTGCTCCAGTACCTTTCGTAACTCATTGGCAATCCTTTCCTGGACGTGCTGACCAACTTCGCTTCTTACAAATTGCGGCTCGGGCTTGACCTGACACTCGCTCAGATATTTGCCATTGGTTAAATTATCCGCCGATGAAGCATGTACAAGGGTTCGACTCCCTTCTTCGCCAGTCCTGCCCATTATCCGTAGGGCGAATCTTCCTTCGATTCCCAAGTCTTCGTGGCGGAAGAGTGCAGTTTTGTACCATCCCGGGTTCACACAATTCACGACGGTGCCGTTCACTTTTGCTGAAGTATTGGTCTTTGTGGCCAGATCCTGGGATCCCAAAATCACTAGCAGTTTACTGAGCAAATAACGACTAGCCATGTCCACCTGCGCTGGATCGCTAAGCGTCCTCAAGATGTCCCCACTCTTGGCATCACACAGCTGTTTGGTCTTTGCGAAGATGTGGGTCATTGAACCGACGAAGGTAAGATGCGTGTCTGTCGCCTGCGCACGACCAGTCTCGCTCAGCTTTGGCAAGACCAACTGTGCAAGCAAGAAGGTGGAGATGACGTTGATGGTGAGAGTGCTTTCGATACCTCTAGCTAGCTCGAACTTATCTAGCGACACACCGGCGTCCAAAACCACAGCGTCAAGACGTGATAAGGTACTACAGGCACGATCGCCAAAAGCCCGCACGGAAGAGTAGTTGGCCATATCGATCGGCCAAACTTCGATCTTGGGAGGTGTCGACGAGTGAAGAGTGGACGCGAGGATCGTGCTCTTAGCCTTTTCGCCCCTGGCTACATCGCGGCATCCGTGGATGCGATGCGAGACATTGAGACGGGCGCTGTTGCGTCTTTGGTCAATCATGACACCCTGGATGGGAAGAGAGCAAAGGGCTATACTAATGCTTGGCTACCTCGAGATCGAGGCCTGTGTTTGCGTCCGTGATGATGACCGTACGGCCTGCGAAGCTCGTTTTCGGCGCTAGCGGCATCTATAAGAGTTGGCCATAGCGGAATTGGTAGATTTCAGAGAGGCCCGGCGTTTTTCTCGACGTGGTTGTTTGACTGGAGCTTGAGAATTGGGCCGAATAAACTTAGGGGTCGAATATCTTATACCTATCTTGGATTGGGGTTCCTTGGTGAGAAATGTGCTGGTGACTTCCCCCTCTTCAAATGCTTCTCGCCAAAGAGTTCTCAGGCTGAAGCTAGTATCTAAAGCCGACTTGTTTCCTGTTTGCTGGTTCGGGAAGATTCATTCTCCGAGGGTCGCTATATTTGTCACTTTCTCATAGAAGAGGAAAGAGTTATAGACCGAAATCCATGGTTGACCTTGTTGCTAGCCTCCAGAATGCCACAAGCCGCAGAATCCGAAGAATTTTTTTGCCAAATGGGGCCCAGTGCGCTAGTCTGGGTTTTGGAGACGAGTGCCAGAAACCGGAAAATGCGTCTTCTGAAGGACCGACCCTGTACTCTCCGTTGAGGAAATAAGGAACCCGATCTGCCCATTTCAAACTGCAATTTGATTTTTTTCCGTGCTGAACTCTGCATCTTGTTTCACATTCCGTCCATCATTGTTTCCGGGGCTACATAGCAGCAACCGCTTCTATCCAATGATGACGAACGTCAAGCCCCCAGACTATCCCCAATATGCCGCTTACAAAGTCCCCGCTGCCACCGGCAGCACAGGCCGAGAGCTCCTCGAGCAGCTATCCACCTCTTCACAAAACCACATCAAGCCCTTCGTCTGACCATTCTCGAAGGTTCCCTCAACGACATGCACCTTCTTGCCAAATGCCTCATGCACGACGCACAGCCCGTCAATGCCATCTTCGCAGTCGTCAGCGCGAACACCCACACCCCACATCTCCGCCTCGCAGAAGAAACCGCCCACGCAATCGTCACCGCCATGTGCAATCTCCGCGTGTCAATCTCGCCATCATGATTGTTGGACCTACACGTCTCCAGTCATACTAACCCAAGCATCATCTTCCTCGCCTTACGCGGCGCAGACCCTCGCTGGTCCGCTCGAATAATGAAACCCATCCACTGGCTCCTCCAGACTGGTTCATCCGCCATCTATGCCAAATGGACAGAGATGGGATGGAGCTGCCGTGGATGAGCTGTAAGGATTTGGAGGCTGTGATGGTTGAGATTGCGGGGAAGAACGGGGGGTTTATGAGGGAGGGGGGTTACTGTTGGGCCGGGCGCGAAGTGCGAGAATCGAGGGGAGAAGCGAGCGGTTTGTGAATGTGTTGATGGGGCTCGTGTGGCATTGTATGCCTTGGCTTTGTCGGGTTCTGCATTAGATTGGTGGGTTGTTATGGGATGGTGGGAGTTGGGGTGTCTGCCTTTGGCAATGTGTATATAGGGTCAAAGGGGGTATCAATGAGTATGAATACTCATCTTCTGTGTTCTCTCCTCTTCCTATTTCCCGTCGATGTTGGACACCGACTCGCAAAGCTCTGCCTTCCAAGATCAGAGCTCGTTCAGGAAGACCCATAAAGGCAGGAAAGTCATCCTCTTCGGTGTTGCAATTCCCAATCTTTCAAGGATCCGGACCGCTTCGACTGCTACTTGCTCTGGCACATTTCCTGATGCAGCTTTTAAATCCGTTACTGTATTCTTCCGATATTCCAGATTGACTAAGACTCTCTGAGGCTGTCTGACCAATAATTCCTACGAATTTTCTCTAGACCTGCAGACAACGCGTCCACGAGTGTCCCTTTCCCGGACGACAGATTCGTATACCAGCCAAGAATGTGCTGAAGGACCCTGGTCGAGTCGAATCGTAGCGGGCTCAAGTTGATTAGGGGGATTTTGCGAGCCCTGAGATTCGCTAACAAGAACACAATAAATAACGTTGGACAGAAGATGGTCGAACAAAGCGATGAATCGGTGATTTGAGCAGTAAGCCAGTGCGTTATTGGAACCGGGACGCTCTTGCAGCTTATGTATGCCGGTCACGAAAGGTCATTGTGTTGATTTGGGAGAGCGCTGGGCAATACGACCGGATCGCTAGACTGCAAAGGAAAGTCGCGGGTTCGGCTGTAGAAGTTTCCAAGGCACAAATAAAAACAGGATTGGAGAAAGAGTGGAAAAGGACAGATTGAAGAATGGCTTTTAATTGACACCTGGCGTCTCACGGGCCCTTCCGTTCCGCAATTCACTTGGTGTCAGGTAAGCGGGTACCATCTAGTTTCTATGGAGAGACTCCACACGTGTCCGCAGCCGCATTTGAGCATCAGTTTTGATGTGCTTTGAGCACACTTGATGAATATTGCGAGAACTTCAACCGCCTGTTCAAACCCGAGTCTCTCAAATGTCAGATGTTCGATTGCACAGGCACCAAAACCCTCCGCGTCTTTTCAATTGGAGTTCACCCTTGCAAGGTGGCGAGCCCAGACAGAGTGTGGACCGTATCTCTGCTCAAGCAGCGTCAAAGCATAACCCAGGAGAATGAAGCCCAGCACGATGACCACCGTGAGACTGCAGATAAGCGTAACGAGCATAAGTAAACGGGCTTGCAAGGTGGCCGCGGAAGGAAAAGAGGCGATCGTTGCCGCTAGGAGCGGCCGTACGTAACGGTGCCAGATTCGATACATTTCTCTTGCAAGCGCAGCATATTTTCCCTTGGCAGATCTCTTGCTGTGCAAGACAATGATGTCTCGAGCGAACTGGCGGACCTCGAGAGCGGTGTCAAGCTCTTCGACGAAATGCTTGGACGCGATGCCATACCTCTGGAAGACTTGCCGCACGACGTGATTGCGTAGGCCACGGTCTGTGTCCGGGGTCGTCGTGTAGACGATTGGGACGACCGACAGCAGGGTCAGGATCTCGGATTTACTATCCCCAGGGATTCTGATATCCTCGTTGAATCGCCGCGCAGCTTCTTTCTTCAGACCTGGCAGATCGTATTTGTCTCCCAAGCTGTACATCTGCGCGTGGACGTGCAGCCGTGTTTTTGCCCAAGAGTCGTTTCGAGACCAAAATCTATCGAGGCCTAGATCTACGGTGTAGGTCTGCATGTAGAGGTGCTGTAGCATTCGATAAACCATGGAGGGCTCCTCTTCGGGTAACTCTATTCGCTGGGTTTCGCTCTCCTGCACTAGGGGTCAGTATTCGCTGTATGTCGAGTCGCGATGACTTACTTTGAAACCGCCTTTGCAAACAGCTTTGAACCACGATGAGCGAGGCCAAAGATAGCTACTGTGGACTTTCCACGTTTTGCCACGGCAGACCAAGGTCAAGTCGGCTCCTTCACCAGTGTCCAAGAGGCTGGGATCCCACTGTCAGAAACGTGGAGTCCGTAAAGGTCTGTACATAGGGGCACTTACGGCTTCATCGATATCTGCATTTCCTGGGCTGATTCTGCCATAACTGAGACGTGGCAAAATGAAGAGGTTTTAAAATTGTTGGTTGATAGAATTTCCATCTTGCGTCAGAGGAAGATATAGAGAATGGTGTGATATGACAATGAAGATGATGCAAGGTCGGAAATGTGTCGAGTACGACAAGTGTTGATCACGCAGACCCATCCTTGGTTTTATACATTATAAGAGCGGCAGACTATTTGATACTATTATCTCGTAATTGTGTTATGCAGCGTAAGTGTTATACTCAAATGCACTAATAGGAATTATCACAAGCCTTGAAGAACTCGAGGCCAGATATCGATCCATTCTGCTGAGCTCTCCACATTTTTCCAGCTTTCAGCATATTGAGTCGTGAGCTCAACCGAGCTGTTACCTTTTATTCTCGAGAAATCTTGGACATATCTTGGCAATTTATCTCGAATGAAGTAGGTAAACAGCTGCATATGTCAAACCCAAATTATCGAAGAAGGGCTGCTTGCTGAAGATGAGGCAAGTTAAGTTGAAACCGAAGCTATCAACGGCAGTGAAGCATCCAGGTCATGTCTGATCAGTCTTGAACCAATCTTCATCGAAGTCCTCGAAATCGCCCAAAGTGCCAGCACCCATGCCATCATCTCCAGTACCATCCATAGAATAGTCCCCAGATCCAAAGATGTCGTCGAAGCTCGAGTCAACAACAACAGGCTGAGCGGACATTTGAGCTGGGGCACCAACGGTACCCACGGGCGCTACTTGCGAGGTCTCAGGCAATGTTGATGCTACTGGAATGTTGATGTTGGAGAAATCGGTCCCCGCGTTGACATAGTTCTCCAGACCCGGCAGAAGGGTGTTGATATCCTCGCTTGTGGTGGCGCCTAGGTTTGACATGTCTGCATTACTCATCTCAAATTTCTCGAATGCACTGTCATTGAGTACGTCTTGATTCAGATTCCCATCCGAGGCGAAATCAAGACCAAAATTCATGGTATCATCACCGCCTGTCAAGTCTGTGTCGTTAAACATCGATTCGAAGTCTAGATCCGCAGCACTCGAGTCTAGCGGCGCTTCTGCTGCTGGAGTTGCTCCGCTAAATTTCATCTCTGGGCTTTTCGGTGGCTCGGCGGTCTCGGCTGTCGAGTCCTGCGGCATGGTGATTGCTAGTCCCATTGAATTCTCAGCGTCTTGTGGCATTCCTGGATCACTGGTGATGTTCTTATCATTGTCTTTGTTCTGTGGCCCTTCGGCTTGCGGCTCATCGTTTGGTCCAATGAGGCCTGCTTCTAGTGCAGAATCTACCATTATGGTGTCTTCTCGCTTCCCCTCTCCCGGATTCGGAGTGGTATCTTTGGCAAGAGAAGTCTCCGAAGGTCCAATCTCACTGAGCTGAGGGATCCCAGTGGCCTCCTCAGGTGAAGGCTGAGCCTTTAAACCATTTGCAATACGTTCGCGCTCGACGCGCTTCTTTCGGAGTAGGGAGAGGTCTCGCTCCATGACCGCTTTTGCTTGAAGCTGATCTCATTTATCAGCATCTATGGCATGACCGAAGACACTCAATGCCACTCCTGTATCTGCACAAAAAGCTGGTCGTGAGTAGGGGATTCACATACAATTTCAACTTCGATTTCATCAAGCGCGTCATGGAATTGCTGATTGGCCCAGGGCACATATTCACTGATGCGCTTTTGAGTGAGGCCACTCTGCCTAGGATTCCGCTGATTTGGATCCCGGAGTATCTTGCCGGTTTGATGAAGCTGTGAGAGCTTAGTACAAGGGATGGGGAGGATCCTTCGTGTTTCTGCTCACCACAAGGACCAGTGATGATGACAGCACTTTCAAGGGGTGCTGTGAACTTTGCAGGTCCGTCATTTCTCGGTCTTTTTGATAATCCTCCAATTGTTCAAATCTAGATTGCTTGGATAATGGGAGAAACCACGCGAAGATGGGGCCTCTTTCTCAATGGAAAAAGAAGGGGAAAGTGGTCATATTGTGAACAAATATCGATGAAAGAAAATGGGAACATCATACCAGCTACTCTAGCTGGACCCTGAGCACGAGGCCAAGCATCTAAGCCTCTTTGTGACTAGGCTTCCCGTGAATTTCCAACCCTAGAATGTTCACTTTTTAGAACCACAAAGAGGATGCAACCAAAGAGCATTGCACGTTATGAAGCCAGTAGAGGAGAGTGTGACTGTTGGACAGTCGTTTTGACAACATAACCAAATTATCACGTGTAGCAGTCATTGTGCTGGTCTTTAAAAGAGATTGATCGTTCAGGTACGCACAGTGGCACCTTCCCTCGCTAGGACTAGATCGCCAAGTAAACCTAAAATTTGCGAAGCTCTCTTGCTCTTTGCGAAAGGCCCACCTCTTCTCTCCAACCTCCCTCCATCCAATATCACCTATCAACGTCGGGAACTTGAGCGGTCTCCTCTCTCTTTCCTTCGTCCTTTTCCATATCTCCTTGGTTCTCCTTCTCGTGCGATTGCTTCCTCAGCGGTGCTGCTTGACAAGCGCCCACCGATTCTTCTCCCTGTTTGCCCATCAGCTTTTCTCTTGCAGATAGCTTCGTCAGTGTTGGCTACGACTCTTCACCATAAAAATCACAGCGACGACATCATCTTTTTGAATCTCGGCGGATCTCCTACCTCTCTCTAGCTTGCAACTCTCGAACACCTGTCCGAGCGGCAGCCTTCCCTCTCTAGCTTCAGCTTCAACTTCCGTCTCTATAAACTTCCTCAGAAATCGTCGATTGTTCAAACCTATATCCAATGGCGGAGATTAAACAAGAAAATATGCAACCTTCTACAATGTCCCTACCTCCACCTCCTCAATTTGCAGGGGCCCCAGGCCAGCCACAATATGAGAATGGCACAACAAATGGTCATGGGAATCCTGCGCACATGCCTCCTCCACCGCTACCTCCAGTCGTGATTCCGCAGAATACCAATCCTATACCAACAGCCTTGACATCGCCCGGGGGTGATTCAACTGGAATGTTGTCACCTTCATCAGGCTCTGGTAGTTTCGTCCGCCGTGCTGCTCCGGAACCAAATAAGCGTGCACTCTATGTAGGGGGATTAGACCCAAGGGTCACGGAGGACATTCTCCGCCAAATTTTCGAGACTACAGGGCATGTGCAAAACGTTAAGATCATTCCGGATAAAAATATGGGAGCCGTAAGTAGAGATACTTCCTTACCCGCGGTGAGCCTTGAGATTCCTTACACGGCCGTATTGTGAACATTGAGAACCCTAGACCCCACGAGTAAAAAAAGCGCGCTACGGAGTTTTTATTTTATCCCTTCCTGACATCTCGTCTTCCACACCCTTCCCACACTCACCCAAAACTCCCACCACCACCCACAATTAGCATTTTCATTAGCCACTTGCTAATCACATCTAGAGCAAGGGCTTCAACTACGGTTTCATCGAATACGACGACCCAGCTTCAGCAGAACGGGCCATGCAGACCCTCAATGGTCGTCGCGTCCATCAAGCGGTAAGCTCGACCCAAGGTCTGAGTGCAGCATGGGAACATATACTGATCCTTCGTACAGGAGATTCGAGTCAACTGGGCTTATCAATCCAACAACTCCAACAAGGAAGATACATCCAACCATTTCCATATCTTTGTTGGTGATCTGAGCAATGAGGTCAATGATGAGGTCCTTACTCAAGCTTTCTCGGCCTTTGGTTCTGTTTCTGAAGCGCGTGTCATGTGGGACATGAAGACTGGCCGCTCTCGCGGGTACGGTTTTGTGGCATTCAGAGACCGCGGTGACGCTGAGAAAGCGTTGAGCTCCATGGATGGCGAGTGGCTTGGTTCTCGCGCTATTCGTTGCAACTGGGCGAATCAAAAGGGTCAGCCCTCAATTTCTCAGCAACAAGCCATGTCGTCAATGGGCATGACCCCTACCACTCCTTATGGCCATCACCACTTTCCCACTCATGGGATGCAGAGCTACGAGATGGTTGTCGCGCAAACTCCTCAGTGGCAGACGACATGCTACGTCGGCAACCTTACCCCTTACACAACTCAGAATGATCTTATTCCCCTTTTCCAGAATTTTGGCTTTGTCGCGGAGACGCGTTTCCAGTCAGATCGCGGTTTCGCGTTTGTGAAAATGGATACACACGAAAATGCCGCCATGGCAATCTGTCAGTTGAGTGGGTACAATGTCAACGGCCGTCCTTTGAAGTGCAGTGTAAGTAAAAAATATCCCCATCTTATGCAAATATTATGCTTACTAATGTCTGGCTTAGTGGGGCAAAGACCGTCCTCCAACCGGCCAGTTCGATGGCTACTCCCCTCAGCAACCCCAGACACCAAGCTACTCTCAAGCTTCACCTGCCTATGGCTTTCCGCAGTACGGCGGTCCTCAAGCCATGACGCCTCAAGGTGGACCGCACTCTGCTGGTCCTATGTCTGGCTATCCTAACCAGCAGTCTCCCATGGGAGCTCCGAGCCCTGCAGGTCGTGGCAACTGGAACTACACTGCTCAAGGGGGACCTGGCATGGCTCCTCAAGGATACGGCCAGATGCCCAACAACGGCGGGGGTGTTCCGGGCAATGCTGGTGGATACGGCCGTAGCGACCAAATGCAAGGTGGCTACGGTGGCCCTCCAAGCGCTGGTGGATATCCTCCCAACGGTCAAGCCGGCAACTATGGCGGCTACCAGGGCTGATGTCTTCTTATTCTGACACAACAGTCTAACCCGGTGGTCCTTTGACATGGTTCTTTTCTTCGAGGTCGCTTCCAGAATGCCCTCTACGACCACAAGTCTTCTTGCGGCTACAGGAGTGCTCCATTCTACTTCATGGCTTGCACGTACTTTCATTACCGCTTTAATAGTTCATAGTGTTTTCACATCAGTTGATCTGAGGCGCGAATGTGTTCTAAAAGAAAAGCTTTCGTTTCTGCAAGGGAAAAAATTCATCATACCGCGGCTAGAATGAGTGACGAATCTCCTTCGTGTAATGTCGGGCTCAGATTCGTTCACCTCTATACCCTCATGTACCTTAA